TGGTGGTAATTTAGCTAAATATTCGTGGCACATAGCACCTAAAAAGTCCAAATGTTTTACCCTGATCGATGGCAAACAAAACAGTCTATAGTTGTGAGCTTCGTTGGTGTTGTCTGAGATGCCGCTATTCGGAATACCTCGCCTCGATTTCAATGTCTTCCATCATATGTTAGAAGACATGGAATCGGCCAGGGTTTCCCGATGGGGATGCCGCCACAGTTTTGCACGACGATAAACATTGACCTTAACCGCGAGGTCAAATATTAGTAGCCCATGAGCCGTTTACAGAGGTGTATCGTGACTCGTGACTGTAAAGGAACGACGACAACTCTGGTAGATATTTTGGGAGGAGAAGGGCAGATGAATGGGGGTGGGGGGGGGGGGAGAAGGAGGGGAGGAGGGGTGGTGGTGGATCAAGCTAGATACTGATCTAACCCAAGTAAACTCTCCATAAGTACTGCAACACCTTCAGTTGCTGTCAAGTTGAAATACAAATTAGTTATCTCACACAGGTTTTTCACTCATTAAAGGTGTACTCGTTATACCCATTAAAGGTGTACTCGTTATACCCATTAAAGGTGTACTCGTTATACCCATTAAAGGTGTACTCGTTATACCCATTAAAGGTGTACTCGTTATATCCCATTAAAGGTGTACTCGTTATATCCCATTAAAGGTGTACTCGTTATACCCATTAAAGGTGTACTCGTTATATCCCATTAAAGGTGTACTCGTTATATCCCATTAAAGGTGTACTCGTTATATCCCATTAAAGGTGTACTCGTTATACCCATTAAAGGTGTACTCGTTATATCCCATTAAAGGTGTACTCGTTATATCCCATTAAAGGTGTACTCGTTATATCCCATTAAAGGTGTACTCGTTATACCCATTAAAGGTGTACTCGTTATACCCATTAAAGGTGTACTCGTTATACCCATTAAAGATGTACTCGTTATACCCATTAAAGGTGTACTCGTTATACCCATTAAAGGTGTACTCGTTATACCCATTATAGGTGTACTCGTTATACCCATTAAAGGTGTACTCGTTATACCCATTAAAGGTCCTACGCCCTAAATAGCAATTTCAAACGGCTGCTTTAAGGCAAACAACATGAAAATACCAACCTGTGAATAACAATCATAATCCAACCACAATTTTTATAAAAAAAACGGATATGAACCAAAAAAATTTTTCATTCTGTTTCCTATAAAAGTACAAAGAAAGTAAGACCAAGTGTTCCAGAAGAGTAAGTGTCTCCTGCTTCATTGACGACACTCACCACGTCAATCTGAGTAAGTAATGTTATGATAACTGAATCGTGCAGGCAAACTAACGAGCATCAAATATATCCAGCTTCATATCGCAAAAAGAAACAGACTGTTGTTAGAATGTTATTATATCATGTATCCTCCAACTTCATTCTTAACACTTGATAAGCGCAAACAAATTCTCCATTAAAACATATAACACAACACACCCCCCCCCCCCCCACCCCCCCCCCCCCCCACCCCCATCATCACCACCAAAATGGACCCTTAACTATGATCTCGGCATCACATCACTAATGACTTTTTCACTGGGCATTAAAAAACTGTTACAGTCGTATGATGTAACAAACTGAAGCTGCATTATGTAGGTGTTTGGTTATGTGATAACAATTTACATTTTATCACAGAGCAATAAGTCATGTTAAATGTGCGGACAGCATCAATTTCTCTTATCAGGGGCCACGGCCCCAGTTTCAGTGCAGTGATAAGTGAACCTTGTTTGCATCAACTGTAAGCAAATACAGGTTGTTAATTTACTTATATTTCATATCCGGTAACGCGCGTGAGAACAATCACTGACGGAAATGAATTACGTCATACAATTTTCTATCCGGGAGTAATTTTTTTTAATCGCTATCATTTTATGAGAATATAAATAAAAAAGTTTACTTACCGCTTCTGGTGACCGTTTAAAATATTCCGTTTGTCCTTTTGGTTACATGTGAACTATTTAATATATTTCAAGGGTGACCTAGGTCGACAGTTTTCCTTACATTCGTACAAAGAAATAACGCTTTCAGTAAATATTATTCTACTGGATTTACACCATTCTCCTTCTTACGAACAAGTAATTTTCTTACAGATTGTATGAGGACTGTTTGTATACAATCTGTGAGTACTGCTTGACTGACCCATATAGTCCAGAAGATCTCTTTTCCTGAACATATGATACATTGTCTGTCCTGGGGCAGAACGACCAATAAACCAATACATTTTAAGAAAACAATGATTTTCGTTTGAATCAGTCTCGTGCAGTATTTGTTCAGTTAAGCTGTACGAGTTATCTCCCTTCGTCTTTTACAAATGAAATAAGAACAGCATATTCTTTGTTTACAATTGAGATATTTTCCTTGAAATACTCCGCAATTGATGTGAAATTAGTTGAAGCTTGTGTCACCCATGTTTCTAGGGCGTCCTGTCCCGCCTCGAATCAACAGTCTCGGCGACTTTGTTCATGTAAACACCTTCCATATTCTTCCAGAATGGGTTGTTGTATATATACATATTTCTGTGTGACAATGTAGTCTCCTGCTGTTGTGATAGATTGTTATTTTTTACCGTGTGGCACTGTAGCACCTTATTGAGTTGATAAGTGTTAGTATTACCGTGTGACAGTGCAATGCCCTATTGTGTTGATGGGTTTTAGTATTCCCGTGTGACAGTGCAGTTCGCTGTTGTGTTGATAGGATGTCAATATGACCGTGTGGAGTAATAGGGATAATAAAACAGTTCTTGTGTCAGATTTTTGTTTGGGAGGAGCCCTAATCTTACTGTAATACATCCATCATGTAGAGTATGATACACGTCTCAGTCTTACTGTAATACATCCACCATGTAGAGTATGATACACGTCTCAGTCTTACTGTAATACATCCACCGTGTAGAGTATGATACACGTCTCAGTTTTACTGTAATACATCCACCATGTTGAGTATGATACACGTCTCAGTCTTACTGTAATACATTCACCATGTAGAGTATGATACACGTCTCAGTCTTACTGTAATACATCCACCATGTACAGTATTATACACGTCTCAGTCTTACTGTAATACATCCATCATGTAGAGTATGATACACGTCTCAGTCTTACTGTAATACATCCATCATGTAAAGTATGATACACGTCTCAGTCTTACTGTAATACATCCATCATGTAGAGTATGATACACGTCTCAGTCTTACTGTAATACATCCACCATGTAGAGTATGATACACGTCCTAATCTTACTGTAATACATCCACCATGTAGAGTATGATACACGTCTCAGTCTTACTGTAATACATCCACCATGTAGAGTATGATACACGTCTCAGTCTTACTGTAATACATCCACCATGTAGAGTATGATACACGTCTCAGTCTTACTGTAATACATCCACCGTGTAGAGTATTATACACGTCTCAGTCTTACTGTAATACATCCATCATGTAGAGTATGATACACGTCTCAGTCTTACTGTAATACATCCATCATGTAGAGTATGATACACGTCTCAGTCTTACTGTAATACATCCATCATGTAGAGTATGATACACGTCTCAGTCTTACTGTAATACATCCACCATGTAGAGTATGATACACGTCTCAGTCTTACTGTAATACATCCATCATGTAGAGTATGATACACGTCTCAGTCTTACTGTAATACATCCACCGTGTAGAGTATGATACACGTCTCAGTCTTACTGTAATACATCCACCGTGTAGAGTATGATACACGTCTCAGTCTTACTGTAATACATCCACCGTGTAGAGTATGATACACGTCTCAGTCTTACTGTAATACATCCACCATGTAGAGTATGATACACGTCCTCATCTTACTGTTTTCTACCGAAAATGGAATGTTTGATATGCTTGTCAGACAAAACAAAATATTTCCGGTCTGGTTGAAACTACAACATTTTTTTTATCAAATCTGATAGGTGTTGTTAAAGTTATACTATTACCGATTTCCTGTCTCATGACACTGTATCAGTACTAGTTATACTTATTTCCGGTCTTTCAGTAGCTGTATCAGTACTCGTTTTAATTATTTCTGGTCTTACAGGAAGTATACAGTACTAGTTACATGTATACTGATTTCCGGTCTTACAGGAAGTGTACTGTACTAGTTAATGGAATATGATGCACAACTGTAACCACTTTAGGCTTCATAATTCAAAATTTGGTATATTAAAATACATCACTCAGTGTGATGCCATACTTAAATGTGATGTCATGTGATCAAATTTCACAAGTCTTTTGTCTGTATAACGCTGTTCATTTTTAATTGTCATGATTTTTATCCATAAATCTAATCAAATATACCGTTCAATTGATATCATAGTTACACATTATCCAATACGAACACAATATCATACATTCAATGACATCCATTTAACTTCATACCTTTCCGAATTAAAATAACAGATATGACATCAGGTCATTTTGATGTCATATTAGACAAAAGACATCAAAACTCATATCAATGACTCTTTTGTCAGTAAAAACCTAAAATACCATGAAGTTAATGTGCAGATTGAACGAGGCTGCAATAGGTGAGTTAAATCTGAACATTGGCTACATAACCTCATGTAAAGATCTGGGGCGCTTGGTTTTGGCACTCCCTAGCCTTAACCAATTGCATTAATAAGGAATCAGAAACGGGCCAGTCTATGCTGTCATTATTGTTCTTTGGAAAGATTCTTTTTCCTATTTGCTATTGATGGCATGTGACGGGCCTTCCATATATTGTTCAGTGAAGTAACCACCAGCTACTGCAAGATGAACCCAGCAAACAAAGAAACAAACCAGATAATTTCTTTTTATCTACCGGGATACCCTCCCAGTCTAACCCTCATAACTTTGTCATATCTAAACTCAATACAGAGCCAATACTTTGAAAAGAAAAATACACAAGCAATTCTTTTTTTGTTTTCTTATTTACATATATGTACATGTTATTATTTACAATAAGTACTTCAAAAACATCTCAAATATTTCAATGCATACTTATCATATACAAATAAAATAGTGATTCACAATATTAGGGAATATCACAGCCTTTGTATCCCTTGCTTCTACTCAGATGTAAAAGAGCAATAAAATTTCTACAGTTCTTAAGATAGGTCAAGATCCATCCTGGAATTATTACACAGGATTTAAATAAACTCCTAGGTATTGTAACATGAAAAATCTCAGGAAATTTGTCAGGGATACATCATGATAGAATTTTTTTCCAAGGAATACTTGATATCTTTGCTACGATAAAATTCAGTCATGTTTAAGTATTGATCTATAACTCATTATAAAACATAGGTATGAAAATTACGCACGATATTTGCAGTTCTATTGAAGATAGAACTTTTATACGTAACTATATTTAAATACTGCAATGAAGTATTTTTTCTTTCATTATTTATATATTGTGTCCTTCAAATGTTGCTGGTCACAGATAATTTAACATTTGTCCACTGTTCAGCCATCATAATGATCACTTGGTATCTAGTTGTTTTGTTGGTGACTGTACAGCAATTGGAGTTGCCTCCCCTGTTAATACATCTTCTGAAGCATTTGGAGTGGGTTTATCTCCATCTGGCATCTTTTTCTCCCAGAAGTCACTGACACGCCTGGAGATGTTGCTATTTTCCTCTCTCCATTCTCGCTGCCATTGGCGAAGTTCCTGAACTTCTGGCTCTCGTCGCACCTTAAACAATTAAAACAAAAGTTAAGAACCAAATCGTGAATGCCAAATTCTCATTTGACAGCAGAATAAAGTGATAACCAGAGTGTTGCCCTGCGTTGGTTTAAAACAGTTACAAACATACCAAATTAACTTAAATGAAGATTATGGGGAAGTTTTACAGTCGACATGATATTCTCATTGGGAAATATTCTATTTGCTTGTGTGATATGAAGTTGGACGTGTTTTATGTTCATTAGTTTGCCTGAGGGACCCTGTATTGTTTATGTTGATATTATCAATTTGGATTTACCAAGATTGACGTGGCAGGTGTCATTGATGCAGCAAAACAGTTACCCTTCCAGAACACCTGGCCTTATTTTTACTTCTATTCATATTTTCCCCTAGTTTTCATCAACTTTATATTTGAATCAAAATATGATTGACCTATTAGTATTTTCTCTTTCTTTTTTTTCAAGAATGGAAAAAAACTAAACCATGTACAGGAGCTAGTAGTCACCAGACACCAAGAAAATTCAAAATGAAAGAATGCATTTTTTACAGGACACTGAGATAGTGTATGTATAGATTTATAATTCTGTAGAACTGATACTGATATCCAATGCCAGATACATATCTATAGTGGCTTAATTTTTTCTCAGCTTTGCTGAATCCACAGTTATCACTCCTAACCCAAGACATCAATTTCATACAGGTCATGTGGAAATCAGTAACAATCCATATACATTTTTATTGGAATAAAATTATCCATGCATAATCGATGCATCAAGTATATTTGCTGTCCATAAATGACAATTTCATAATCTAATTTCTATGACACCCTACAAAGGCATTTTTCATATGCAGTTGAAATAAAGATTTCAAACGATACAGTATGATCTCTTTCAAAGAAACAAAATAAATTGATGTTGTGATCAGGATATTTTTTCAAAGGAGTCATTACCAGATATCCTCTCCAGTAAGACTGTATGATGAGAACAGCCTCTTCTTCTGTCCAAATCAAGGACAAAGGTAGTGGTGGGCGAGGATGATCCTTTAACCAGTCCTTAACAAAAGGAATTTCCTCAAGCTGTACATCTTCTCTTCCACTGTGCAAAGGATTATTTCTGAGGAAAAGAATATCAAAATAAAATTGTTTTATTTTATATGTAAAATCAAACGACAATAATACGTTCTTCTACAAATACCAGATATATCTTCCTCAAGGAAGAGATGCAACTATGCTAGATTAAATTAAATTTCACCATATGCACATCCTCGATACTCCAGGGGCTATGATCACTTTCACTCTCTGTCATGGCAAAGTTGAAAGCACAAGTGAAGTTATCGAATTGGTTCCAGGAGAAAAAATTGACCAATCACTGGCTGATATACTTCTTTAGAAGATTTCAAAGGAGTGACAACTTACATCAAAGCTACTATAATATACAGTTATGTACCTCTAGATTCGTTTGATGTTCATCAAAGGATAGTTTTAGTCTTTTCATCTCATCCACTTGTCTCAGATGGAGCATTCTATTTTGCCATGACACTTCAAGGGTGCAATGACGAAAGTGATTGTAACCCCTGGAGTAATGACGATGAATTAAGCATGAAATATCAAAAAGGATTCATACATATTCATATTATTCCATGAGCTGATAGACACTTATGCTTACATATTAAGTTAATGCATTTTTAATTGATTATATCCTTCCTTCCTTACTATCATCAATCTTATGACAATGTGTCATGAAGTATTTGTATGTCTAAAATCTAACAATGAAGACATAAGTTTTCAAAATCTCCCATACATAACTTTATAAATAAATTAACATTTATCATCAACTTACTTATATAAATATTCTGTGAGGAAATCTAAGGCATTGAACTTTGTTCTTTTTCTCTGAAAAAAAAGAAAAAGGAAAAATAAACATGGCATATATTTCACTATGATTTTATAATCAACAAGCAGAAATATACAGAATTTTTGTCTTCATTTTCAACAAAATTTCTGTAATTTTATTTTCACAACTTTTCATAGTTTTCATTATCAGATTACAATCAATATATGTGAAAATTTGGTCATTTAATCTAAATCTATGATAATGATATGCAACTCTTTTCAAAATAATAAATAAAATAAATTAAAAAATTAAATTAAATAAATAAATGATTAAATATAAACTTAATGCCTGTATTACCTCCAGACATTTTTCTTTCTTTGCTTGTCTTAGCATTTCTTCAAGGGCAGGTAAAAGGACTGGAAATACATAATGTTCTAAATACTCCCTTGGATTACCTGAAAAAAAAAATTATACATTACTCAAATAAAGCAACCAATTCGTGATTATCCACTCTCAACTCATTTTCCATTTGGGGCCTCTATCTATATTGATTGATTTGCTGCAGATGAGTTTTTACTCTATTTTCATCGTTTAAAAAAATGGGGGGGGGGGGGGAGTAAGAATTCAATTTTGTAAAAATTATCAAATGCTAGTGCTGTACTGAGTAGGGTTTAAACAATTATTGGATTGAGATTTAATATTGTATTACTACACTTTTATCATCCCTCTGTTGCTGGTATATTTGTTGAATGTTGCAAGTAAATTTTTTTAGCATATGTTCAAGAAATTAAAAACTGGGAATGTAAAATAACAAACCTCTTCTAAATAAAACTGCATTTTTTGGGTTCAATTTTCAGAATTTCAATTGTATGCTATCTAAGAATTTGCATCTAATTCAATATTTTTAATTGAAAGGTCAATGATTTATTTTTCTTCCTCAATTTATGTTCAACCCAGACTAAGACAATATACAGTACATTTGGAAATAATCTGCACAAAATCTCACATTTCTCTTTTGGTGGTGGAGGTGTGGGAGGCGGGGGTGGCGATTCTGGAGGTTTCTCTGTAAAGGCAAATCCAGCACATGATGGATGTGTTGTAGACGGGTCTATATCTTTCATAGGATCATTATCTGTCACAACATGTTCATGCATCTTTCCATAAAACACTGGATTATGCTTTGCAGGGTTATAATCAACATAGTCTGTTCGCACTGACATATCATCATCTTCTCTGAAAGGTGGTTTTCTTGAAGCAAAATCTGAAAAATAAATACACATTTAAAAATTACTTCCCTGTCTGAAAAACATTATTATAAACACAGTGGTTTGATTTTAGGTTATATAATAATAAATTGATACCCCAAAGTACTATTCAGGGTTTTCCATAATTTTGTTAGTAGTAGGCTGTGTAGTGAAAGTAGGAGGCTGGCCTGCCATGTACGTGTAGTCGTGTATGGAACATTATTAAGGAACTGGATTGGTGAAGGCGGCCAAATGATCAAAGTAGCCGGTCAAATTGGCCGGCGACCGGCTCTTATGGAAAACCCTGACTATTTATTGATTTATTGTGTTGCGGTTATTAACTGATACCATTAATTTCTCAAAATTCTGAAACCAAGCCCATGTGATTATATGCACCTGATATTAATGTAGACATAACACGTACTTGTTCATATCATAATGATCTTGTCAGGCACTTCAATTCCTTCAGTTTATTCGGTTGTGAAATGCATACATACATATGTAGCGTGTAGAAATACAGATACATGTACATATTTAGAGAAGTATATATATATATATCCCTGTTTACATTAACATAAATCCCTAACAAATGGAATTATTACTATTGAACGTCACTTGTATACCATTTCAGCTCGTGTGACATTTTATACATTTTTAAACAATATTTCGATTAATATGGTTTAAAATCTAGATGTTTTATTCAGATTAGAAGTTTGTGTAGGGGGGAAGGGGTAAATGTGCTAACTTGAATCACTAAGAAAATTATACTGATTATGACTGGTAAACAAAATCTTTACTACATCTCAATAACTAAACGTGTCGGTGCTAACATCTTTCTGTGGAAAATGATACTTAAACTACAAAATAAACATGTTCCACATTTATGAATATTGACTAAAACAGACAGAGATCACATGTTAAGTCGTATAATATCGTGGAATACCTTTGACAATTTCATCCCAAAGATTTTTTGGTGGAACTCTAGTTATGACCGCCATGTTGTTTATAACCGAATCACCACTCACAAAAATTATCCCTGGGCGTAATATAGTTTGTATGGAATTTCAATAATTATGTTCTGTCTTTAAACTATTCCTCAATATTACTGTTTACGATCATACAATACGGTCTTCTTTGCTGAAATTTTTATTATTTTAAAATCCATGCTTGTAACATCACTAGCGGCGCAATAATTCTAGGTTGCTGTGATACAGGAAAGATAACTCTACAGAACCAATTAAATTTAGGAATCACGATACAATCTTGAATTTTCTCTATTTACACTTGGTGTTGCGGCAGAGGCTTTGCTGGAGGTTTCCAAATTTTTTAATGATGATCTCCGAATTTGTCAAAGTAACCAAAAGAGACAGCCGCGATAGGAAAATCAGAAGCTTGATATGCAATTGTTGAAGATAAATAATTTTTAATTTAAAATCAGAAATATGTACTTCCTTGGCAATTTCCAGACTCACAAGTTGCCATATTATTTCATCAACATCGTACGCGTGATACCAGTTTTCTCCGCATTTTTCAATAAGTTTGTATCACTTTTGGATCATAAATATTTCTAGCATATTTTCCTTTAATTTTGATTCATGACCAGGGTTCCGATCAGTATGTTATACTTTTTAAAAAGGAAAGAAATGTTGAGAAAGGGGTCCATGTCAGTTTGAATAATTGCCTTTGCATTAATCACTTACATTGTTGATATTAGATGCAATTCAATATTTTTTAATAAAAAAATAATCACATCCTCCAGATGCAAACACAAGTGTACCATGTCCCTACTTTCCGCTCACGTTTTTGTTACTATAAAAAATATTTTGGATTCCATGGACTGTTAAATGTAGTATAATTACCATTGCTTGAACTACCAGCGGCGTAATGATATGATGAAAAAAAATATGAAAAGTGAAAGTGATAAATAAAAAGCTTTGAAACGCTTTTACTTGGCATTCCTGGACATTATCACTGCAAACTGGATAAAATCTAACACATTCCGCATTTCGCACTTGATTGAAAATGCCCTGTATATTGTAAGTATGGTGTTGTCACCTTCCATGAATGTCAGCTGAAATCAGATTATCGCTCATGGCGTATTTACGTATTATAAAAGTTCTTGCCAAATGATACAAATGGTATTTATTTTGTGTGCATTTGGAATATACTAACAGTTTGACTGACACCATTACTCCAAATTACGGTAATGATGATCATTAGGCCAAATATATTTCATTTACTTCATGGATTTTACGCCTGTTAATATGCCCGACCTATAGTTATCCTTTCTTCTAATGAAAATAATACTAACGCATAAAAAATCTAACTCAAAAACATTGAAACGATATAAAAAAATATCGGAGCAAAAGGCCAATTAAACATTGAGAAAAAGGGGATGGCGGACAAAAAAACTATTGCTTCATATGATGTTGACTGTTGACAAAATTTATTCTGCTTTGGCAAATAAGTATTTTTTAAAATTATATTTCAGATTACCGACCAATCAATATCCTGGAGCAAAAGCCAGACTTACAGCGCTTTACTCAGCCAAACGTTGTTTTGCCTCCATACGATACGGAGACTTGGTATCTTTCATATTCGACTATCCTTACGCCATTGTTCTGGGCGACATGCGACGAACCTCTCGTATGCTGTTCAGATAGGTATCCGCCAACTCTATATACTTCAAAGAGGTCCCACCTCAAACTGAACCTGGTTCTTCAGGGCGATAAATCTAAACAAACAAACAAGCACTTACATTTCAACATGTCATTATTCCCACGTTATGGACAAAACAAGGAAAACGAGTTGAACATTTCTTCCTCCCACTCACTGTATTTCTTAATTTATATCTGGTCAGCGAGATCAATTCATCACTAAGCTTTATAATAAGCATGGTAAATCAAATCTAGCATGGTATTTTTGGATCATATTGCCAGGAGTGTATGATGAAGTCATGCGTCCCAGCTATATCATATATGTAGTTTGCGAACGACAATGGACGAAATACGATGACTACAAGTTATCCAACAATCCGCCACCCCTCAGATCCTTTAACTAAATCCAGCATGTGAGATTTTAGTACTTTTTTATGTCCCCTGATCGAAAGATCGGGACATATTGTTGTTGTGCTCTCTGTGTGTCTGTTGTTAACTTTAACCTTGTCCATAGATCTATTGCATTGTGACATGACCTTTCCGATGTTATCAAAGTTTTTGACCGTGTGACCTTGACCGTTGACCTTCATTTGAAAAGTGCAAACATCGGGCATAAGTAAGAAAAAACACCACAATAAAGACATCAGCGTTTCCAAGTGTGCATGTAATTAGCACATACCTTACACAGAACAGTTTTAATGTCACACTTCATAATTTTGTTATAAATATTTACACGTTATCATTTGTTTATTGATCATAATATTTATCGTATATAGAAATTTGTCTTCGTGATCAGTGTCTTAGTATAGAAAGACAAAAGTAGCGAGCTTTCAGCAAAATGTAGCTTGAATTTTAAGACACTGAACATGTATTCTATTCATCCTGGAAATTCATACTACCGAAACTTCAACGTACTATAACGCCTATTCAATCTTTGTTTACCTGACTTTGACGTCACGCTGAATTGTATCAATTTCATTTTTCCCTGTGACAATAGATCAGGAAAAACCAGACACGTGTTCTTTATTTTATATGTACAACTGAAACATGAATGAATTTACTAATAGTGAATGAGGTATCGGATTACAGAAGGGGTGGGGTTACAGGGGAGAGAGGTTCAGGGCGGAGGGAAGGGAAAGATGAAATAGTCCAAAAAACATTGTATACATCCTGGTTGTATAGGATACTACTGTCATATGTTCTAAGGTAAATAGCTTAGAACTAGAAATAAACGATTGTGCAGCTTTACAAATTAAAATGTATAGATTGGTGCCAACATTTGGATTTCCAAACGGGTGTTTCGCTATATCATTTGAAGGATCGAAGCATTAAATTACGGGAGCGATCAAAGTTTGTACAATATAGCGAGTAGTGAGAACCTTTATCCACAGTCACAAGTAGGGGCGTCCAGAGGATGGGTTTTATAAAGATCATAATTTAAAGAGCTACTGTGGTTTCGTAGTTTACAAGGAATAATGCTGACTTTTGTAGACTCGTGTTCAAATTAATATTTATTGAGAGAGTGTCTTGTGACTGAAGAAGAGTTTTAAACCGTTTGATGGATAATGATGACTGTGTCAGTAGATTTAAGTGTTCCAGGTTTCCGAAGTGATAGGTATGAAGGATGACTATAATATAGATTTTGAAAGTTTGAGAAAATAGGAGATAGTATAGATTTAAAAAAAGATAGAGCATTATTGTGATAGATATTATAGAACATGGATTTTTTTCTATCTTAACGCCTCTCTGTTAATGGTTGTCATCCCTGTGAATAAAGTCTTTTTCCGTGAAAATTGGTAATCTGAATTTTATAAGACCTGCTTCATACTGCATGCTTTCTGTTTTATTCGATTGTGTTACGGTGCAATTGTTCCATAATTGTCTCATACTTTACAGTCATATTCAAATAGGTATCTCCTGGGCGAGAGAGAGAGAGAGAGAGAGAGAGAGAGAGAGAGAGAGAGAGAGAGAGAGAGAGAGAGAGAGAGAGAGAGAGAGAGAGAGAGAGAGAGAGAGAGAGAGAGAGAGAGAGAGAGAGAGAGAGAGAGAGAGAGAGAGAGAGAGAGAGAGAGAGAGAGAGAGAGAGAGAGAGAGAGAGAGAGAGAGAGAGAGAGAGAGAGAGAGAGAGAGAGAGAGAGAGAGAGAGAGAGAGAGAGAGAGAGAGAGAGAGAGAGAGAGAGAGAGAGAGAGAGAGAGAGAGAGAGAGAGAGAGAGAGAGAGAGAGAGAGAGAGAGAGAGAGAGAGAGAGAGAGAGAGAGAGAGAGAGAGAGAGAGAGAGAGAGAGAGAGAGAGAGAGAGAGAGAGAGAGAGAGAGAGAGAGAGAGAGAGAGAGAGAGAGAGAGAGAGAGAGAGAGAGAGAGAGAGAGAGAGAGAGAGAGAGAGAGAGAGAGAGAGAGAGAGAGAGAGAGAGAGAGAGAGAGAGAGAGAGAGAGAGAGAGAGAGAGAGAGAGAGAGAGAGAGAGAGAGAGAGAGAGAGAGAGAGAGAGAGAGAGAGAGAGAGAGAGAGAGAGAGAGAGAGAGAGAGAGAGAGAGAGAGAGAGAGAGAGAGAGAGAGAGAGAGAGAGAGAGAGAGAGAGAGAGAGAGAGAGAGAGAGAGAGAGAGAGAGAGAGAGAGAGAGAGAGAGAGAGAGAGAGAGAGAGAGAGAGAGAGAGAGAGAGAGAGAGAGAGAGAGAGAGAGAGAGAGAGAGAGAGAGAGAGAGAGAGAGAGAGAGAGAGAGAGAGAGAGAGAGAGAGAGAGAGAGAGAGAGAGAGAGAGAGAGAGAGAGAGAGAGAGAGAGAGAGAGAGAGAGAGAGAGAGAGAGAGAGAGAGAGAGAGAGAGAGAGAGAGAGAGAGAGAGAGAGAGAGAGAGAGAGAGAGAGAGAGAGAGAGAGAGAGAGAGAGAGAGAGAGAGAGAGAGAGAGAGAGAGAGAGAGAGAGAGAGACGGGATTAAGTGCGATATCGTGGTAGTCCCTCGACACTTTGTTCAATTTAACCATTTTTTCCAGTGAGGTTGATCATTTCTTGTGCCATGGCTACCTTCTTGTACTTTGCAATGCTTCATTTATTGGTTTATTTCTTAAAATTTCGTAAAACAGTTGTGGGTTTTTACGGTGCATCAGCACAGCCATTTTCGGAATACCACGGACTTCATTCTATTCTAAGTACGGCCAGAATACGTAATTCAGCACGTGCATTAATTTGACAGCATTGCATTCTAATTTACTAAAATATTTCATGAAAATCATATGCAAGTTATTAGATAAGCGATTTTGTTTCTTGTATCAAACAAGTTATTTATATTTTTAACAAAAAATGTCATATAATGTTTTTGTTTTTTCATTCATTGATTTGTGGACCCATATTTCCACGCAGCATAATCAATTTGTCATCGGGCAGAATTCAGCGTAACGCCATTTTCAGGTAAGCAGATGCCTAACAAACAGCTGAAGTTTCAATAGTCAGAAACAACTTACCAATGTAGAATAAGCAGACTAGTCAATGTCATAAAACATAAGCTGTATTTTGGCGAGGGTTAAAGAAAGACAATGTGGTCTATCTTTCCGATCAAAAATGCAGTTTAAGTTTTAAGACAGTAAGGGTACCGGCCTCCGTGCTAGTTTGTGGATAGTTTTCATTTTGAATTTCCCGCTTTGTACTGTGCAAACATTCAGCTGACTAAGATTTTGTCTATTTGTACATGCACTTCCGGGCGGAAAGAAGGACTAGGGCAGTTAGAAAGAATTTGAAGAAAACGTGATATTTTATCACACATCGACCATGAGTTATACAATACTATATGTTTCATGAAAATGTGAATATGTCGTTTGATATTTGTGAATTGATTGAAGTTAGATTCAGCCATTTTTCTCGGGAATTGCCTTGGTGTTGGGCATCCAACCTCAGCATCAGTAAATATCACCTCGATCTGTTGTTTTTCTAGACACTCCTCGCTAGGTATCCTTCACCAGACACGGAGTGGATATCAAGTGTTCCTACTGAAGAAGAAAGAAGGCGTTAACAATATTTTCTGTTTTGGAAAAGATGGTCAGTTAAATATTTCGCCGTGGTACACAGATTGTTGTGATTTTACAAACAGCATTTGAGTTGATAACATCTCTGGATAATGTAATTTGTGTATAAAAGGATATTGCATTATATACATGATATATATATAAACGATTTCATACAAAATGGACGACAGTAAAAGATTTGCAACTCCACAAGAGGAGATAACATTCTGGCGACAGACAGCAGAGCGGTTTAAACATGAGTAAGTATATGTAGAGTGCATGAAATATAATATGTTGTGGATATGCACATGTGTAATTTGCAGTCTACACCTTGCAATTGCACTTAAGCTTACATGAGACACCATTTAATCAAAAGGACCAATATTAGGTGTATACATAAGAACTAGAGAAAATTCTGGTCAAACTGAATCAGTGCAGGTGCATGTAGTTATAAGGTTGCAGATGGTTATTATGACGGTTAATAATACAGAAAACCCACCTTTTATAGTGACGGATTCAGATTATTTGTAAATAAATTATTTATTTAGCTAAGAGGTGTGACAAATTGTATTGGGACACTTGTGTGGTACCTTTGAAAACTGATCTACAGGTAAACCATCTACTGGGAGAAGGAACCAAGCCAAATGCACTTGATCTAGAATTACATAAATGCTAGGTTTAAGCGCAAAATTTACAATTGTATTGAGACCATTAATTTGCCCATTGAATTCATCACTGCCTTCCATGTAAACCTTCATATCAAACCATCTATTATGTGATGTACAACTGCACATATATTGTACATGTGTACACTCGTAAAATTTTAGTTTTGAAATATTTTACTGCATGTACAGCTATATAGGTAGGGTGTATGAATTGTACCTGCTGGCACCAGCTTGCATTGCAATTGTCTGACATAAGATTAACAGGCCACTAAATATGGGAACTTGATATGTCTTCCTTTAAACATGCATCTTTTTCTTTCACTGAACTTGGGAAATCTTGATATTAATCTTAGTCAGTTAATAGTTGAGCTTTCCTTTTAATCCAGGAGTGTCAAGATTACAATGTTTAATTCTGAAAGCAACAATGAAGGACCCAATTAACTATCTGAATATAAAACAAGCAAGCTTAGCTAAATGGAAAAGAAATATTGGATACATGTCCGATAGTAAAAGAAGAAATGTGAAGATTATTTATTATCTAGGAGTGATGATATATGTGGTTTTTCTGCCATTTAGAAGACAGGCAGTTTACTTCTGTATATTTATTGTTTAACAATCATATACTGAATTTAGTTGAAATGGAGAGTATGAAACTGGAGTGATCCACATATATATTGATGAAATACAATTAGTCTTTTACTTCTATTTTAGCCTTGAAGATGCACGAGAAGAGCTTGAAGAGTTCCAGATCAGTAGCAGAGAACTTGAAGCAGAATTAGAAACACAACTGGAACAGTTGGAAAATAAAAACAAGGAACTCACTTCGGATAGATCCAAGTTACAAACTGAAAATGAATCTCTCAGGGTGAGTTACTTATAAATTCTGAAGTGAAGTGTATTGAAGGAACAAATCTATCAATGGAAAAAAGTACTTGCGAATGTGCATGTCTAAATTTGCCCTAAGTGGTACTTCAATTTTCATTGTCGCATAGATGTATCATAATGAGACATATATGTGTGTATATCATTACTTCTTGGAGTGCTTGAGTTTCTGTACCTGGTGCTATGATAACGAGTACTGTATTCAATTAACTTTTAATATTATTCTTCTCAAACTGTGAAACGGCTGCATGTCTTTACATATTTTATCACAATTCATACCAAGACCACTAACAACATTTTAAATATGCATGCAATTCAATTTGCCATGCGTGGCCATTTATTAATTTTGCCAGTAAGTGTATGTATACATGGAAATGACTGTCCATTTTAATATGTAATGGGACTTTGATAACGACATGCAGATGTTATTTACAAATAGTTGAGGTATATAAACAGTGTGAAATGCATTGTAATAATAAATGAAATGTTTCCATGTTGGTTTAACTAATTTCTTTAAATATATCTTAATGATGAGACAATGATGAGATTTGATTGATTATCAATTGTTTTACCTCATCTGATAAGATAATTGGTTGTATTTCTTCATAAATGATCATTGGTACATTTGTAAATTCATAATATGTGTAATAGAGATGTTAGTTGCCAATAATATTCATTATTATACCAATTCTAATATATCTTATCTTGGTATACATACAGTAGAGTTGTATATGTTGAGTTTGAAATTGTGTAGACAATTTTAATGCACGTAAGTCATTAGTTGAGTGTACAAAATTCAATTTTACGACATATTACATATAGCAATGATGATTTTTACTGACAGCGGTACAATATATATATTTATACGCTTTCAAATACTTCGTAACTCAGGGCTGTACAGTTCAGAAACTTCAATAGCTGAATGTCGGAAGATTTTATCTTTGAGAAAGGAATTTTTAATACTTCCTTTGAAAATATAGCTATTATCATAAATCAAGCTGTTAGTCTTTCTCGTAATCAATTTGAAGGCTTTTACTTTCAAAAGTACACTGCTTGCTGCACATCTGTTCTGGTGTAAATTAAATTTGTTCGTCATGCTTAATCTGTGACAACTTGCATGAATAATTTAACATTCTAAGTGTATTTGTGTACATCGTCATGCACTAACACACATATTGTACCATCCAAACTTATCCTGTAGATCATTGTTACAAGGCTAACTGATATACCCTATATACAGAAAACCTGTCACGGGGCCCAAGGCTTGTGAAAATAAAATATGGTAGTGTGAAACCATATGTTTCTCTATAGCTATAATCCTACCAACTTACTGTAATCCTTTATACTTGTGTACTGACTCGTTTAATCTGGTTTATACACTTATCATGAATGTATATATATTGTACATGGACTTGACTGGAATTTTATCCGGAATTTGATCGTTAAATTGTTTGTCACTACATGATGGTATAATAGAATCAAATATTTAATTAGTTACGTAACTGATGTATTCGTGAATAATACATATACCCCACTCAGTTTAAATTTCCTGTTTGAATTCTCTATTTATTGTTTTTGAGGGAGGGTAAATTCATTTGGGGTCTTTCTCTTACTGATAAACCAGTTATCATTTTAAGGACATATTTATATGATAACGTTGTAATGAAATGGATTTTATTTGATGACCTGTACATGATCTGCATCACAATCTTAAATGTGCTGATAGAAATTCTAAACACATACTCAGCCATGGGCTATTTTTCATTTTTTTTTTTATTTTAATGGGATAAATTTGATAATACTTTTGATTAGTAAAAATGAAAACAGGTAATTTGTATTAGATGAAAATAATACGTGTGTTGAGTTTGCCAAAGTTTAAACTTCAGTTTACAGTTACTTCATAAATATTTTTAATTTGATCAGAACACACGACTGATTGTCACATGAGAATGTACAGGTCATAGGACTATAAACGCCACTCATATGATTAACCAAAATAATTTCCACTCAAAGTAGATTTTGTTTACTTATGTCACATGCTTTTGTGTACATTTACAAGAGATATATATATATCTACAATAATTGTACAAGTAAAGGTGTAAATAGGATTATTACTGTACTACACGAATCAATTATCACACTGAAGCCACTTTTCTAGACTGGCAAACATTGGGGCTGATACCAGACTGAATTTCTTCAAAATCATTACCGATATATTTAATCAGGTCAATATTAGTCCATGTATATAAATATTTACAATACCGCAGAACATGAAGTTGACATAAATCTATTTTTTCTGGAAGTCTGTCTACCAATAGGGTGTATTTTGTCCAGTTCACTGAAAAATAAAGGAAATTTTGTCAGTTTACACATACACTATATGTCTGGAATCTGTATTACACTGTGTGCATACTTACTGCTATTGTATTGATAAATTTGCATTCAAAATGGGGACATGGTTTTAGTGTTTTAGTGAGCCAGTAGTGCTGAAAATAATTGAAAATTAATGGATTAGTGAGCTAGTAATACTGAAAATAATTGAAAGTTAATTGATTATAGAAATGAAATCAATTAATTGATACCAAAGTTGCCAAGGTACTCATCAGGGTTCAGGAATCACCAATAAATATATAGTTCTATGATATATGTGAAGTGGTTAGTTTATAGGTGAATTATAACCAGCAGCTATATAAGATAGACTTTTATGATCAGTAGATATGCATACATGAAATGATTATACTGATTTTAAGTTTTTTGTACAAACTGTAAGCAGGTGTGTGCAGGGTACTCTGGCAACAAAAACTTTAAAAAAAAGTTTAAAAAGTTTAAAATATTAGCACTAGCCTTTCATAATTTCTAATACAAAAAAAACATTGTCTGGAATTGGACACATGTAGCAACTCAACCACGAAAAAAAAAATCTGACGAAGAATAGGGTCTCACAACTGGATCTAGTTTGCTAATTTTGACAAACACTGGGTCAACATATCCTTTGTAGCTAATGACATATATACATCAAGGCTTTAAAACTTGTTTATCTTGTTTATGTTGTGTTTTTGATGGATAATTAAGTACTTCACTGTAAAATGTAAATATATTGTTTACTTTTAAATATATATCCTTGAATGGGGAAAAGAAACCTGTGTTATTCAGAACGCTTTGAAATATTTCTGCTGTATATTTTTAGCTTTATCAGCGTTAGGTCAAATCCAAAACATCTGATCTATTGTAGGGAGGTAGCAGAGTCAGAGTTGACATACATGTATATCTAAAGGATACACTGTGATAACATATCGAGTGTTTTATCATAAAATTGTCAGTACACACACGTATCATATAGGATTGGAAGGTTAATAAATGGAAAATATAACAAATATGTTATTTTTTAACAATTTTTATTGTAGTCGTTTTCATGGCACACTTTAGGTTATACATATATATATATCCTATCTTCATTTGTTTGATTTTTTTAATGAGAATGATGATCATTCTCATTAAAAAAATCAAAGTGGAAGATTAAAAACGCAAGCATTGAAATGTTTGTATTTTCAAATTCATCCATGCTTTGTATGCAGTTCTCAACTGTATGATTAAAGACTTTCTCAGTGAATTTACTGAAGAAAAAAAGTTGTGTAACCACAACAGGGGCATCATCAAGTTTCTCTTTGATACATAGTGCACCTGGTAGTATAAATCATCTTTTTTTGATTGTTATTTAAACCTGTTGAGTTATGATTAATTGAAGACACATTCGAAAGGTCAAGGCATGCATGTTGTGATACACGTTTAGGATGTAAAGGGAGATAATCCCATATAAATCACCTAGGTAGATTTTAAAAAAAAAAAAAAAAAAAGGAAAAAGAGAAACAAAATTTTCTTCATTGTATATACCATTGATGTACATCAGTTAAAGTGTGTAATATTTGAAGTCATATTGAACTCTGTAGTTTACCATTTAGATAGGGTTGATATATATATATATATACAAATAGAGCTTGTTTGTTTAGGGAGTAAATTTCCATGCCAATTATATACATAAGAAGGAATGGTTTTGATTATCTGTGAAATTTTTTTCTATTTTCATTAATTTCAAGATATTGAAGAATTACAATTCCTACACAGTTTTAAACAGTCCTGTTGATGCTAGTTTACTTATAATTAAGTACTTTATTGTATGACATCATGGCTGACAAATTGAATTATATTAAAAGTTTCCAAGTGAACATATATTTTTATATCCATCTGTTTAACATGCATGCATTTGATATATGTGATATATAATTCACATTACTTTATTAATTTGTAAATGTTATGCAGGTTTTATATATGTTCATGAACATTAAACATATCTCGTAAAGTTTTAATTAAGTTTTCTAGCACCAACACTTCTGTGTATGTGTATATATATACAGGTTATTTAAATTTCCACTGGAGAATTGATTAGGAAAAACGTTCTCTATCAGTGGTAACTGATCCAGCTTCAACAATGACTCACACACTTTATGTGTTGTATAATTCATCTGATGTTGTACATGTGATGACAGATTGACCTTTTCTCACACTGTGTATAAACCTGTTGACTTACATCTTGTATACTCACATGTTTGTATACAAAGGTTTTAGGGATGGTGAAATTTTATCAAATACCAGAATCTTGTGATTTCTTTTTGATAAATATATGATGTGTGTAAAAGAATTCTTTATATATACATATATAGTAGTATATTTCTTACTATTATGGATGATACAAATGTATTATAATAGATAAAAGTTTGAAAGAAAACTTTCAGTAAACCATTATTGGCTCACCTCACCTATACCTATAATATGTGTGAGAGGGTTAAGGTTGTATGCTACCTTACATATACCTGTGATTTGTGTAAGAGTTAAGGTTATATTCTACCTTACATATACTTGTGATTTGTGTTAGAGTTAAGGTTATATGCTACCTTACACATCATACCTGTGATTTGTGTAAGAGTAAAGGTTATATGCTACATTACACATTTTATCTGTGATTTGTGTGAGAGTTAAGGTTATATGCTACCTTACACATTATACCTGATTTGTGTTAGAGTTAAAGTTATATGCTACCTTACATATTATACCTGTGATTTGTGTGAGAGTATTAAGGTTGTATGCTACCTTACACATTATACCTGTGATTTGTGTAAGAGTTAAGGTTATATGCTACCTTACATATTATACCTGATTTGTGTTAGAGTTAAGGTTATATGCTACCTTACATATTATACCTATGATTTGTGTGAGAGTATTAAGGTTGTATGCTACCTTACATATTATACCTATGATTTGTGTAAGAGTTAAGGTTATATGCTACCTTACACATTATACCTATGATTTGTGTAAGAGGGTTAAGGTTATATGCTACCTTACACATTGTGTTAGAGTTGAAGTTATTGTGATCCCTGAAACATTTTTTTTTGTTACAGGAATATATACCAAAACCTCTTCATGTATATAATACAATGTTCTCTCTTTAACAGGAAAAATTAGAGATGATCCAATCTAATTCCTTCAGGAAACAGACAGAGCTAGAAGACGAGCTAGCTCAGGTCACCGCTTATAAGGATGAATTACAAAAATATATCCGTGAGCTGGAGCAGTCAAATGATGACCTTGAACGCACAAAAAGGTGAATTTTATTCTTTAGATATGTACATAGCAGTTCTGTTTATGTGACATTAGGTATAGAAGATTTTTGACTTGGTTGTACTGTATCTGAGGAATTTGATATTAAAAGAAATCTGTGGTTTTACCTTTTATGGCATCTGTCCATGATATCACACAACCATTAGTAAACCTAGTTATGTTAGGTGGCTATGTATATACGGACAGATTAGAGAACAAGTCTAGAGCACTGGAACCCATTTTAGTCTGTACATACAGTGTAATAATGTCTCAGTATTGTGGGCTTATAGAATAAGCATCCTTGGTTTGAAACATTCTTGAGGTAATAGAATTGACTTAGTGACTTGATTCTTTTTCTTGATTCTAGCTTACCACTGCTGTTTTTCACACTGCAGGGCCCAAAATTGGCTTTGATTCTAGCACTGACAATTATTGACTTTTGATCCAGGTTTAGTTGGACTCGATTACTTGTTTGAATGGTACAAAATGCTAGCCATATTTACATCCTCAGTAAAATTTGATCATTAAAGTAAATACTGATGTCACCATGTCATTTACCTAACAGGCTTTAGTATGACAAGAAGAAAACCATTGTCACTGTTTTAGAAAATTAAATCCAATTATTGTGTTTTCAGAGCAACAGTGGTGTCATTGGAGGACTTTGAACAGAGATTGAATCAGGTATATTTTTTTTTATTCAATTTGATGTGATATTTTACAATTTTCAAAAAAATAAAAAAAAATACACTTACATGTGTTATAAAGGTAGGTGACGAAATGTATGATGATATATTTTCAGCCTGATGGTAAATTGATCCAGAGTTCCTTTTCCATTACAATGTTGATTGGTTTACTCTAAATCCTGTTTTATTCTAATTCATATCTTGTGCATTGGTCTTTTGTAATGCACTGGTATTCTGTTTTGATAAAATGTTGTTTTACACATATTTGTCAAAGTGTTGTTTTCTGTGAACATTCCAATATTGAATAAATGTCAGTAGGGTTAATACATCACAATATTTTGTCCTTGTGTTTCTATTTATATAGTATTGTTTCATATACATAAATATATGTCTATTAATAAAATTAAGACACATTTAAATGGATCAGGGAATGAGGTTTTACAGAGCATAGACAAACAGTGTTGTAAGACATTTTTTCTCAGCACCCTATCAACCTTACTAGTACAGACTGTATTTGTACATTTTCCTGTGTTGTATTTGATAAGCACTAACTTGTTATTTTACAGGCAATAGAAAGAAATGCTTTCCTTGAGAATGAACTGGATGAGAAGGAAAATCTTGGAGAGACCGTACAGAGGCTAAAAGATGAAGCTAGAGGTAATGTATTGATGGACACATTACAATTTTTGAAATGATCAGTTCACCTGTGAAACGTTTTCATTTTTACTGCCATCATTAAAGACTTTTAAATAGAAAATTTTCTTCTGAAACTTTTAATGATATATAGTTAAAGTGTACAAGAAATTAGTATAATATGTAAAAAAAAAATGTATTTAGTGTATATGTAATATTTATCCAGTGATAAGCCCATAATTTTTAATAAGCACACCTGTTGCTCTTGCTGGTCTTTATATCGATGTCCTATTGTTGAAACGAATACATTACTTTAGTCAGTGATTATGTGTTGGCTCAGAGTAGACATTGATTTACACATGTATAAAGGACAATAGATATCGAAATCAAAGATAAGATTCCGTGAAACAGGGTAATCTAGGGTTGTATTTCACCTTATGTAATGGCTACAGGAAATGCTCTCTTCTGTTATTTTTATTTTTGCAAATAAGTGAATTTCATGCAAGCATTACATAAATTCACATTTTTCTGACTTGTAAATTTGTAGATGCTCTGTATGTGTTTCAGACCTTCGCCAAGAGTTGGATGTTGTCACCGTGAAGAAGACAACACCAAAAGAAACCTTACATAAGGAGCCTGGCTCCCCAGACCCAACCAAGTCGTCCCTGAGTTCGTCACCCAGCTCCACAACCAATAACACGCCCACAGAAGGCTCTAACAAGCTGGTGGACAGTGGCTACATGGGCTCACAGATCATCGCCTCAACTCCCAATCTGAAACGTAGGCACTGAATTAGGGTTTTCAGGGAAGAGGGAAGTGCTATAATATAGGGGATGGCTGGGTTCTCACAGTACTATGTGACTTACATTACACAACAGATGTTTCTTAGCCCCCACGCTACCCTTAGGGCTTATCTTTAGGACATGGGGACCAACAATACACAGGCGAGAGGTTTTAAGTGTTGCCATCATATTTCTGCTCAAGTATAAGGTATAGTGACCAACGGTACACACATTCAGCAGTGCTCAAACTACAGATGTTTTAGGGTATCCACACGGGGGACCACAAATACAAAGTATTAAGTAGGGCTAACACTACAGATGTTTTAGGGTACCCACACGGGGACCACAAATACAAAGTATTAAGTAGGGCTCAAACTACAGATGTTTTAGGGTACCCACACGGGGACCACAAATACAAAGTATTCAACAGAGCTTACACTACAGGGGTTTTAGGGTATCTACATGGGGGACCACAAATACAAAGTATTCAGCAGGGCTCAAACTACAGATGTTTTAGGGTACCCACACGGGGACCACAAATACAAAGTATTCAGTAGAGCTTGCACCACAGGGGTTTATGGGGTTCCCACAGCACCCTTGTAACTGAAAGTACACAGAAACCAATAATACAAGTATTCAGCAGGGCTCACACTAAAGAGGTTTTAGGGGTACCCATAGCACCCTTAATGCTCAAAAATAAGGGGTTTCTTGTCATCTCATGCTTGAGAGGCATTTAGAGATTCTAATAGTGTGTGCATTTCAGGATCAGTACAGAAATGCCCAAGGGTGCTCTTCCTATAGGGATCACACCTGTTATATTTTCATTGACTATTTTCTTCTTCAATAAATAGAACAAATAATTGGTATGAAAATGATATGGTAAACATGGTATAACAGGCAATTTGCATGTTGGTATGGTTTTAATATTTAAGTCTGTTGCTTTTATCTGTGATGCTGGCATTACTCTCTGTCCCTATGTTTGTAACTAAATGAAGATCAACACTCTTTACTACTAACAGCCCATTGTTGGTGATTAATACAATTTGGACTTAGTCTGATAGGCTTGAACCTGTTTGAACCTTGACGGTCAACATTTCTATGCTTTGTATGTGTTATGTGACTGTACCCAACTTTATCAATAAGAAATTATAATTTCTGTTTTTAGTTCAGTAACACATTGTTATCTTGTAGTCCCAGCCATATATGCTTCAGTCTCTGTTGAATTGAAGGGAAAAGTCCAATCTTGATCCCAGGGTTGAAATGAAGGAAAAAGCCCAATCTTGATCCCAGGGTTGAAATGAAGGGAAAAGTCCAATCTTGATCCCAGGGTTGAAATGAAGGGAAAAGTCCAATCTTGATCCCAGGGTTGAAATGAAGGGAAAAGCCGTATTTGACAGGGAGCAAGGCTCCCTCTATCATCCAACAATATTTAGAAATGTAACAAAAAAAAACTAATGAAAACAACAAAAAAAAAGGGAAAAAAGTCATGTGACAGTATTGTCGGGAGTGTTTAACATCTAAATATATAACAAGGTCCTTTAAATGTTCTGCTTGATAGACGTTTATTTGTATAGCTCACTCAATGCCTCCTCTCTTATGAGAAGCTCATTAACAAAACCAATAACACAAAATTTACACTTGTTACGATATCAACATTTTTTCCATTTACCTTACACTGATGTTCTATAATCAGTGAATAATTAGTTTTTTTTTTATATATGCCCTTCTATTAAATGCCGAAATTTTTCATTGTTAACTTGGCAGTTGTTGAATAGATGCATAAAGTACATTGGCCAGGTGTACTTGTTAAGGTTTGTGAATACGGGTCTGATTATACTCTCGGTAATGAAATATGTCCATGGTTATAGTGTCCTCCCCATTTCTGTGTCTCAGTATAGTTAATACTCTACAGGCTGCATTTCTTTTTCCAATTTTCATGATACACAAATGTTCACAAACATCACTGGTGTTTGTGTAATAATTACTAGTGTTTGCATTACAATCTTCTGCGGTCAAAAACTAGGCTTCCATTACTAAGAAAAACTGTTACTTAAAATAAGAATAATTAATTTTTTGAAGTCAACTTTACTCAAAATTTCAATATTCTCATTTACGATAAAGGGGTAATAATTTAGGCATGTAACATACTGGTACATTTCTCATGGACACACGTTCTCATAAAACACACCTAATCACTCTACATTTGCCTTCACACTTAGCATTTTATGATACTGTGATACCTTGTTATATAATAATGAAATGACCTCACGGAAATTTCAGAATGGGGTTTCCTTTGTCCACAATGGTCTGTTTAGAAAAACACCTTTGTATAAGCTGACAAAGAGATTGTTTATGATTAAGATCACAGTTAAAGCTCCAGTTGAGGTATTTTGGTTCTATGTCTTTGTATAGATTTGTGAGCACTGAGTTTAAAGAAAGGTGTACTATATATAATGATATTTGTATGAACTGTGGATAGAGAATTCATCACTTGCTGGTGACTTCAATAGGCTACAGTCTTTAAAGAGATTCAAATACATGTCATTTATATAGACAATGTAGGAATTTAAGTACCTTGATATTTGCTGTGGATTAGGATGGAGTAGAATTTCCTTTAAAAGTTCTTACTATGTGTAGAGTCGCTGTAAAGTCACTTTTAAGATAAGATTAGTATCATAGTCGCTGTAAAGATCTAAGTATATTTGTCGCTGTAAAGATATAAATATATTTGTCGCTGTAAAGATATACCGTAAGTATATTTGTTGCTGTAAAGATATAAGTATATTTGTCGCTGTAAAGATATAAATATATTTGTCGCTGTAAAGATCTAAGTATATTTGTCGCTGTAAAGATCTAAGTATATTTGTCGCTGTAAAGATATAAATATATTTGTCGCTGTAAAGATATAAATATATTTGTCGCTGTAAAGATATACTGTAAGTATATTTGTTGCTGTAAAGATATAAGTGTATTCGTCGCTGTTAAGATACAAGTATGTATAGAAAAGATAAGATAAGATTAGTATCATAGTCGCCGTAAAGATCTAAGTATATTTGTCGCTGTAAAGATATAAATATATTTGTCGCTGTAAAGATATACTGTAAGTATATTTGTTGCTGTAAAGATATAAGTGTATTCGTCGCTGTTAAGATACAAGTATGTATAGAAAAGATAAGATAAGATTAGTATCATAGTCGCTGTAAAGATCTAAGTATATTTGTCGCTGTAAAGATATAAATATATTTGTCGCTGTATAGATATACCGTTATTATATTTGTTGCTGTAAAGATATAAGTGTATTCATCGCTGTTAAGATACAAGTATGTATAGAAAAGATAAGATAAGATTAGTATCATAGTTGCTGTAAAGATATATGTTTGTAAAGTCGCTGTAAAGATACTTGTATTTATAAGGGTACAGTCACATACAAGATGTGTAGTGGTGGTGTTGCTTTGTTGCAGGTCTGCCCAGTAACAATGGAGGTACACCCCTCACTCCCTCTGCACGTATCTCAGCTCTCAACATTGTTGCAGATTTATTACGAAAAGTTGGAGTAAGTATCCAACCATATCAGTTAAATTTATTTGCATTTTCATGTTTGATATATGGAAATTTAGCAAAGTTGTTGAGGAACAAGCTAATAATTTCCCATGTGTATCTTTTATATTTGGCTACATAGCTCTGATTCACCATGATGTGTATTATTGTCACTTAAAAAAATATATGCATTGCATTTTTACCCCATTTTATTTCTTGTACGTACAAGTCTATGAGGTTCTTACCTGATAAATTAAGGTTGTGGTATTTTTTAAGCATTTACAGTTGAATGAATAATCATTGATGAAATATCAATGTTGGCAAAATAAAATATCAATGTAGCGTTAGTTTCTAAAGGATTGGAACAGATATATATTTTCACAGCTGTTATTTATTTGTGTGTAGGTGTGTGCAAAATCGTGTTTGTTTTAGAGTGTACTTTTGTCCGACAAATTGAAGCTTTGTCGAAGCATGGCCCTGATTTTAGACATACAGACTTGTTACTATAGATGTGATGCGTGGTAGTGATCTGGCTTTTTCATCTCATCATTCCTCCTGCATTGTCTTCAACACCTAGTTCTTATCCAACTATTTTACACTTACAATTTGGCGGAATGTAAATTCTAAATATCTGTTCAAAATTCAAAATTGTGACCAGTTTGTGCAAAACTTTTGTTGTTGACCCAATAAAAATGTTGATTTATACTTAAAAGAAGGTAAACTTTAATTTAACAGAAGAGAAAATTTCTCCCATGTTTATGTATGTATGGTTGATAATTTCCTTCGGCAAAAAAAAAAAAACCAAAACAAATCAGAACTATCTTGAAACGTATATATAATAAAAAAAAAAAAATTCAGTGTAATTTGAATTATACACAAAAAAAACCCAACTGAAGTTAGAAAAGAAAAAATGCAATTTTTGATATAAATATAATTTGCTATTGACTCTCAGAAACTGATGAATTTCCTTTTAAGACACCTTTGGAAATAGATTTGTGATGTTTCTTTTTTTGTCTATTTCAAACTGAAACCTATTAAAAGTACATGTTTAAAATTATATATTTTTTAAAACAATTAGGCTCTGGAATCAAAGCTAGCCTCATGTCGAAACTTTGTAAAGGACCAGCCAAGAAGTGGTAGACCAGGAGGTGGTAGTCCGTCAAACTCACCAAGGTTTGTATATCAAAGACTTGTATGTAGAATGGTTTTTTTTTATGTGATTTGTTGTAAACAGGTACTTTTACTATATAGAAAAATAGGAAATATATTGAATTTTAGGTGTAAGTGCTCTTTTCCACCTTTCATCCCAATGATGAAAACTAATTTAATTTTCCTTGATCACCACTTTGGTTTCATCAATTTAGGCATTTTGCATCAGTGACGATTCCAAAAAGGGCAAGACAGCTGTATGATACAGTTTAGTTTATACTCAGCGAATGCTCTTTCCAATTCTAAAGTTGTATTAGAACATACTTTTGAGTTTCCATGTCCATGTAATATGTTCAATCCCATAATATCTCTATATTTTAAAGAAACCAATTTTTGAAACTAAACACTCTGAAGTCTGAAGTGATATGTATAGTATCTTTATCCTAGCAAATATGTTAGTGTTTGACGGATTTATGAGGAAAAGACGTGGAAATTTTGTAACAAATGCAAAATTTTGTAGGACGTTTGATGGAAGAAGGAAAGTAGGAAGTTGTGTACATTGGTGTACTTTCTGCATTATTCGTTTTGATAAAGTACGCTCATAGATATCCACAGGAAAACCAAAAGTTAGAATGCAGAATTTCATATGAACTTAAACAAATTCTTAAGGAAGTGAAATATTCTGTATAATTCTTGAATATAACAATAATTAAACCTAAACTTATTGAATAATTGTTTAGATTTAGTTGATTTTAGTTCAAATAGGATGAATCATTCTTCAAATTTTGTGAATTTATACTATTTATAATAAAATAATGTACACATGTTTACTCGGCCGTGCATCTATGCATCTATCACTGACCCGTGTCTGTCGTTCCTGTGTTTACTGTAGGTCCGACGTCCTGCATGGTGCAAGACTAAGGTGACTTAACACTTTACTAAATCTGTCGTCTTATGTGGTATTGTAACATTAAAAACTGTGCATGATTGTGTGTGGGTGTTACATGGTGCCTAGATGTACATCATACTTACTCTTGTAGCTTCCATTGTATCAGTAAATGCTATCATTGCTTCAGAATTTTTTTTTTTTTTTTTGGTTTTGTTTTTTAATTTTTAGCTTGTTATCTAAGTACTTGTACATAAGCTATTTGGTTTTGCTTTGAAGTGATGAATTTTGCCATACAAAGTTTTGTTGCATTCAATTTTGGTTTTTTTTTTCATTTAATATATATGTACATTTTTTACCACTTTTTAATTGACACACCGGGCCAGAAGGGCCAAGAGAGCTATATGGAAAGGGTTGTAGCATCTCCCGTTTTCCTGCATCAAGGATCTGTCAACTTTTCCTGTAAATTGCTACTAGTCATGAATCCAAGAGCGGATTTTAACCTGATTTGGTCTGAAGCTTTCGTAGGGGACGGGGAATTAGTTTTGTATAAACTGGGGGTCTCAGGCGCCTGGTTGGTGAAATAGCAAAATAAATTGGTGTGAGACATGCTTGAATGAACAGGATCAGTTTTGCATGAACACTGGGTTCTGGCCTCCTGGGGCAAGAGCGGCAGGGGTCCTAGTATTGGAAATAGGCAAATTTTTTAGAATCCTTCTTTTGTTGGAACTGAAGACATCTTTGGAGAAGAAAACAATCAATGCATGTAAACCCCCTAAGGGAGGAGGGGCCAGCTGATAAAGAAGAAATAGATATAAAATAAGGGCGAGCTAATTGAGGGGAAATAGATATTGAATATGGGCGAGTCTATTAAGGGGAAATAGATATTAAATATGGGCGAGTCTATTAAGGGGAAATAGATATTAAATAGGAGCGAGTCTATTACGGGGAAATAAATATCAAATATGGCCGAGCCCATTAAGGGGAAATAGATATTGAATATGGGCGAGTCTATTGAGCAGAAATAGATGTTAAATATTGGTCAGGCAGGAAATAGATATTAAACACTTTTCCTTTAGTTTAAATGAATCAGTTTCATCAAACTAAACCAGGAAAGTGTTACAAAGCCTGTGGGACTCTTGTTTTTCTCAATTTTGACTACAATTAAATGTATAATTTTTGAAATTATGAATCTGAAGTTTTTGGATTGTGCAGTGTTTATACATCATACAGTTAATTTGCCCTTTTTAAATGGGTGGTTTTTTTTGTTTTTTGTTTTCAAACAAAACTAGTTACCAGTATTGTTGATATATGCAATTTATGGGTATACAGATGTGAAGTAGTTGAAATAGTTGTAAACATTTCTTTAAGAGATTTGCCCTTGATACAGTGCCCACCCTTGGAATATCTCATGAAAATCAAATGCTTAGTCTGGAAACTGTTATGGCAGCACTTGGAACTCTTTGATCAAGAAAAACAGGAAAACAGGAATTAATAGCACGAAATTAATGAGCAAGGATTTGAGTGTTGCACATTTGTTTTCTGCAAAGGTTACAGTTTTGCTGTGAACATATTCCAAGGTTGTGTAGAAGGTATATGTAATTTATTTCAGAGTTGATGACTGTAATGCAAAGTAGACACAGTATGCCCAGGGTGTACAAACTATTGCAGCACAACATGTACTGTTTCTTGTAAATTATCTAATATTATTGGTGTTAGACTCTTCAAATTCAACAGATTGTGATTAATTAAAAAATATTCATTTTTTGAACAAAAGTTTAAAAAATAAACAACAAACAAACAAACACCAGGAGGGATATGTTTGGTGTGTGGTAATAGTTTGTATAACCCTTATAGTGAATCAGGGTAACATGTATTTATGTAGGAATAATATATCATCAGTATAAACAGAAATTAAAATATTGTGATACTATTAACCAGGAAAGACATCATATACCTTTTAGTTCTATTTAAGCATCCCACTGAAGCAGACTTCATAATCATTTATTATTATTATCATTATTTTGATTTTTTTTTGTACTTTTATTTTTTCAAAATTAAAATCTTTACTTACATCTTAACCATTAAAGGCTAATTTCTGCTGCTGTTGTATTAGATCATTTTTTGCTGAAGTTTTAGTGCCTTTTTTGTCCACATTACCCTTATTGTGTGTTGATTTTTCATTTTTATTTCCATTTCGATGAATCTCTATTGAAAATTACTTGGATGTAAAATATGAAAATTATGAATTGTATTAAATTGACAGATAGATTAATGCATCTCAACATCAATATTTTGTGTTTCATGAGTAATTTTCATTTCCTTATATGACCACCTAGATTTTCACACTTTAAATACCCAACATTACTGCTGAGTTGTATGAAAGACAAAACAGCTATATAATGGAGATTCATCACTAAATTTTAAATGAAAGGTGCTATTCACTTTACCGGTGTCAATTCTGCGGAAATCAACAATTATTATTAACAGTATTATGCATTGCATACTGGTAAACAAACCTCAATACATAGGTGAGATATTTGTTAGTCATCAGATGGTGAACATTTCAAAAAAGGACCAACAGGTGGCCATCTTGGATTTGGAAGTTAGAGATTATTATCGCTCTCTCTATAGAGGAATTTCAAATTTCGTATAATTAAGAGCAAAAACAGGGCAGAAAAGAGACCAGAAGGGAAAAGATGCAACTTTGAAAGTACAAATAAGGGTCAGACAATGGTGGGTGGCAAGATTCTTCGAGGATCTCTTGTTGATAAATAGTCTATTCAATGGAGTAAAATTGTATTATGCTATTCATATATTATTAGATTAACTTTAGAATCAATTAATTATTTTTATCAAAAATAAGGTTTTACAGAGTTCTCTTTCTTCCCACACTGCTACTGGATGGTGAAAAAAAAGTGTTATGTAACAAGGAGTACTAGCATTGTTTGATGTGATGATGATGTGGACAAGGATAAAAATAACAAATTAAAACATATCAAACTCACTTAATAAAGAAGTAATGCTCATGAAAATGGATATATATATATATTTTTCAAATTAACATTTCTAATATATGGTTTTATTACTTAACCAATTAAGGATTGGAAATTAACAAAATTGTACAAGGTAATTTAATCTTTTTCAGGTCTGACATTTAGATTGCTGTAATTAGTTAAAAAGATCAGTCCAGTCACTCAGCAATTACTTGTCTGTTAATAATTGAAGTCATGATTCAAACTGTTCTCCATACTTCAGGAGATACAATACCTTCACTCTCTACACCTCTGGAAAATTTCTAGACAAAATTGAAGGTTCAAGCGAAATAATTTGATTGGTCTAGAGCAGGTTTCAGGAACAGAAACCTGACAAGACTGATATTCTTATCTCCTTGAAAGATTACAATGGAGTGACACCCAAATTCAAAGCCAGTAAAATGTACTGTTACATATACGCTAACTCGAGATTCATTTGATGTACATCAGAGGATCAAAACAGCCTTCTTGTTTTATCCACAGGACACCAAGAACCTCAAATTTTGCCATGAGATTATCCAAGAGTAATGATAGCTTTATTGATCATAACCCCTGAAGTATTGATGGGATTTTAACTATTTATTTTTCTATAATTCACAATTGGAATATTTTGCAGTTATGTTTTAAATTTTTTTGAGTTGGTTATATACCCAGTAAATTGATCTCAAAATTTTAGTCAAGTCATATTTCAGTATCAAGTTTTCAAATGATATAATGTAAAAATGAGGTTATAACACAATGTGCAGTGATGATCGCACACTTTTATTCAACAATCACTTTCTGTGTCTTAAGTGACAGAAATCTTTCAGCATATTTTAAAAGATTGTCTGATTTGTACTTTTTATCTGTAACTGTCAGAGCACCATTCAAGAATGATAACTCCACACCCCAACCCCCACTTTATCCGCCAATCAATGATTAACAGTTTTTTAAGAATTGACATTCTGTATGAATTTAATTTCAAAAGAGACCCTTGACCTTTTCCGTCTTTCGCCATCTTCCAGGATGGAATAATAATTATAAGAAAATTGAGCCCTTCAGAAATGACAACTTCTGCAGCACATAGTATTTATCGTTGAAGGCTACAGTGAATTATATGAAAAGGTGTTTGAGTTTGACATGATTCTCAAGCATCAAATCTAAGTGGTGGTATATAAGTAAGATTTCTTTCTCATTACATTTTTAGAGAAACATCAAAATTTTTATTTCATCCCAAAATAAAAAGAATTTTGTCCATATTGTGTACAAAGTAAGTAAGAGACTAAAATGCATTAAAGTTTTGAAGTATTTTGATTGCTTATACCAGATATTTTTGATTTTGCAGGGCAAAGAGGTTAAACAGAGGAGCATCAGTCCCTCCACAGCAGGGCGTAAAAATTCCTGTATAGAGCTCTGAGCTTTTGGTACACTTGGCCAGTGTTGTGCGCAACCAGCATTTCTAGGATCCTATCTGCACCATGACACATAACAGGAGATTTGTTTGTCCTGGAGATGACGAAATTATGTATTTTGTGTGTCTGAGACTTTATGCTAGGATAGAAATACTTGGGACTACATGTTACCTGTGACGTAACCAAGAAACATAAATCATATTGCAGTAATGGTTTGTAAAGAGATCTTGGTGAAAAAGATTTCTCTTTAAGAACAAGAAACATAACTGGCCATTAAAAAGTATTTTTTTGTTTGAGACTGGATGTGTTTAGGATAAATAAGCCTTACTTGTGAAAGATTGTTTTTTTTTTTTTTTTATCTGAATCAGGTTTTCAGAAAACTCATTTATATATTATTATTGACAATTTGCATTGTGTGTTCCTAATACATACAGTATTGTGTCTATTTTTCACAAAATATTACTGATATTATCGGCTCATTGACTAGAGTGCTCATGTTACTGTCATTTAACGGTTGTACCAAAATAGATATTCTCATTTGTATATCTTATTTGATTCTCGAAATCAAATCGTTTTGAATTTTGGGGAGGTTATTTGAGAAATGTGTATCTCTATAAGTAAATTTGAAAGCCTTAATTGTACTTGACAGTAGATGAATACCTGGTACATACAAACAGTGTCATTGATCATAGATTAGTTTGTAGTAACTGTATGTACAATTTCATGTTTTTTTTTTATTTATATCCAATATGCCATACATTTTGTTTTGTACAGTTTCAGATTTTCAAACTTTTTAGTGCGCTGTGAAGACGCAATTTGAACTCTTTTTATATAAAAGAGCTAATTAATGTCAGTCGACATTTAATAAATTACAAGCTAATACTCAATTTGGGTAATATAGATATCTGTAGTAATACAGAATTAAGTCATGCATGTCAACAGTACATGTGATACGCCTCGACTAAATGACCGTTCTGAAATACATAACGGTCAAGAACCGGCGTCCAGACGATACTCTACATTTAGAATTTCTTATTTCTATGTCATCTTCCCCCTACACCCATCTAACGCTGCAAGGACTCCTTGGCCAGCCTTCACAAATTATCACTTATGAAATAAAATTGGAAATAAATTGTAGATGTAAAACCATGTTCTGTGTAGAGATAATTGATTTTCAAGTACAAGGGTAACATCGATTTTCTTCCTTGATAATATTTAGAAATATTTGGAAAATGAAATCAATAAAATCTATCAGTCACTTTAATACTTGAATGTATGATGTCAGAAAATCTGTTGAGGTAATCATACTACGATCAAGGAATTATGGCACCACTTAACCATTCTACTACCAAACTAACATACCATATGGACAGCTTTTTGTTTTGAAAAACAAAATTATGAGGATATAGTTCAATTTCAAACCCTTTGAAGTGGATTCTGTTCTGTGTAATGCTTAAACTCAACAGTTCTTGTACACTAGTACATGACTCAGAATTAGGGACTGAATGATGAGTGTAACCTCTAGAACAGATTTAGCAAAGACATTTGTAGAGTAATAGGAAGGAGTAATGAAAAATACTCTTCCCATGCCAGGGTTCCCTGGTCACTACACCAATTCTACCATTCGGTCTATAGCCAGACACCCTACACCTTGAATATAGGGAAATTCCTAGTAGCTGAATATAAAGACCTGTACTCTCAAGTATCTATACCAGCATTGTTAATGGCATTACCCTCCCATCCATGTACATAAATTGATGTGTCTCTTTGTTCTTGCCTTGGGCTACCTCACTCATGCTGTTTTAGAAATGGCTTCAGGCTCTTCAAAGATATCCATATTGTCATTCATTTTCATTCCTGCTGGTTGGTTTGTTGTATGAACTTCTTGATGTAAACTTGAATCAGTAATTGATTTCTACATTCGACTTGAATATCAACTTCTCTCTGTGTTAACTTGACTTCAAAATCAGTTTTCACAAAATGATTGTAGAACTTTCATAATTTTCTGCATAAATTACCTTAAAAACCTGCCTAACTTTGGTCCCTCTCACTCTACACTTATATATAAAGGATGGTTTTGTAGATTTCAACAGCTTCTGTTCATTAGTCAATGGTTTATTTGGATTGTATACAATAGAACCTTGTTATTTCAAACTCATAATATAACTCAAAGACCCAATTTGAAAGTATTTTGTTGGTCACAGCCTCACTTCACACCAAAAATTCTACTTCAATTAAATAGAATACTTTGGATAATTCGAAAGTTTCCTATGGCCTTGTCCGCTTGAAGATAATGTGTGTTAAATTCTGTCCAAATGACACTTTATTGAAATGTGAAATGATCGTTGTTTTCCACTCATTCCATTCTTTCTCACTGTTATCTACTCACCAGATGTTTGTGGAGGAGATTCCAAAGATGTATGTTGTTATGCTTTAGATTTTATGTAAAATGTAATAATTTTGGTAGAATTTTTTTTCTATGCAATGTTAAATTGAACTCTCAATATGCCAAAGTACACATAGTAGAGCTTTTGTAAATAAGAGAACGCTGCTGTCTCATGCACAGGGCCTTGGCAAAAATGATCAGCCCTAAAGTACATTATTATTATGATACAATGTATATGAACTGTGAGGTAAGGATTATATGCCAAGCCCCTGTGGTCCCATGTACAGTGTACAGAAAAGAGAATTTATGTGTTCAGTTAACAGTAGAAAACCAGTGTGTTTGATTTAGTTCATAGAACTGCCCAAGATATGTGTTACTGTTTTTGATAACAGTGTGTAGTTATTTTGAAGTTGTAAATAAGGTAGTTTAAAACATGAATATGATAAAACACTAAAGTACTCAAATTATTCAATATCAGATACAAGGAAAGGTAGATTAGAATCTTATAGGTAAGTAAAAAATCCTCTCAAAATTATATGACACAATTTTTTTTCCAGGAACATAGCATGAAGGTATCACTATATTCATAATATTTGTCATACCTAAATCCCAATATCATTAAAAGTCTGTATTTAAACCACATTAATTATCAATATTTAAAACATCATTATTTATAACTAGGTGTATTGACATATATAAATATATGTGCACTCAGGTCAATTAAGATTTAATAAGGTACCTCATCTTACGACTACAGTTAAAATTGATTACCGGGTACTTTTTAATTAGTGTTCCAAGAACAATTTTCCTGGTAATATTTAACATTATAATCGACAGTATCAATATTTAAATTTGTTTAAAAATCATTTCAGAAAGATGATGGAGTGAAATTTGGTTTTGGATTCTTCTTCATACAAAAATTTTGAATGATATCATTGATTTGAAACACATTAATGATAAGTATTTTATTTTGGATTTTGTATCGCTGACTAAAACTAAAAGTTGATTATAATGAACTATTAATAAAAACATAGTATCAAAATTTCACTTATTTTAACAAGTATAGAGTTCAGTTACTTACATACGAATTTAATTTGTTCTCAATTCATTATGCTATAAATTAATTTTTTATATATTTGTCAGATGTATGTAAAATCATGTGATTTTTGGCATTGTTGTGTGTATGTTTCAAGGTTTGTGGCTAGGAAATAAGTGGTTTTGTTGTTGTTGTTGTTGTTGTAAAGTGTGAATGGTCATCTCCTTAATATCTTATAGAGCTTAGCAGTAGTGGTTTGTTCTGAGTATAGTTTTATCCTGCTTGTAGTCATACCTGTAGTGTTGTCCTATCTAGGGTGTTAGCATTTTTGTTTGCTTATTTTGGGGGGTTGGGGAGTCAGGAGCCCTTTTTTGTAATATAAAAGTAATTCAACCCACACTGCTGTTATAAAACCACACACAATCATTGTGGGAGTTTCACTCTTTTTTTTTCACTTTGGATACATGGTATGTATAAAATACTTGGTGGGTTTTTTTCCTTTTATTTTTTTTTTTCTTCAAATTTCAAAATTTTCAAATCTTATTTCCTCCCACACATTATATATTTTATCTTTGAGCTTTTTTCTCCATACGTAACAGTGTATGTTGTATCATGATTATATAGTCCATACAGATGAGTACGTAAGAATTGCGAAGGCTTAAACCTCTGAAGTATTATAACAGCTGTAAACATGTAAGAAAAACATGCCTTTTGCAGGAAACGCATCAATGCAGGCTTCAGGTGATTCTCCATTGGTTTCTGCTGTTTATGGCTGTTTACAAACCACAAGACCCAATACCATGACATACACTGGACCATGATCCCTGTTCATAATTTTTCAGTTTTCTGACTTCTATTGCACTAAATCACAGTTTTTTTTTATGTTTAACACTGAAATAGATTTAGCAATTTGTTATAGAAAATTAAACCATGGGTCAATATTTTAAAAAAAATGTTTTGTTTCATCTTAAATCTCATAATTCTTGGTAAGCACAACAATTTCTTGACTCCACATTTTATTATAGTTAATTAATAGTACTAGATTTGTTTAAAGTGGGAAGGTAAAAAATTAAGCATGATGTCAAGTTGAACTTAAGATAATGACTATTTTTGGTTTTCTTGTTGATAAGATTAAATTGATAAATCTACTGAATACAGTCTCAGTAATGAAAACAACATGATTGACAATATTTATCATGGATACAAAATTGAAACTGTATTCATGTGAAAGAAATTTTTATCATACTTGACTTAATAGAACGTCTTGTATCCTCATAAAAAGATGTAATCAAGCTAAAAAAAAATACACACGAGGACTTTAACTAACATGTATATTCTTTATTACAATACTGATTACTGTTCTATTTTTGCAGTAGTTTTGTCAAAAAAAGAAATTATCTGTAAATTAAAGAATATAAAATTTTCTTCAAAGAATGGTAATTTTATTAAAAAGAATATGTTCATTGCTTCAAATCATCATAATTTTCTGTCTCTAGATAATGCATTTTGAAAATATTAAGAGAAAGAAATGAATATTTCACAATGTGTAACTACATTGTAAAATAACCTATATCATATGTGGTGCTTTGCACATGCTTTGCACTGATCCAGTTATATTGTCGGTATATTGCTTTGGTTATCAAAGTTCTCTCTTTCAGGCTTCATACATCATTGGTTATATGGTAACAATAAATTGGTCAAATATCAAGCTGTGCTTTTGTCTTTTCATAATTGTAATTGATTTTGTTTCTGAAATTACTGATATTTCTGAATTTGGTTAAAAATAAAAAAGAAACTCTATGTTGTTCCTTCAACATACAACCATAAAATCCAAATACAGTATTGACTATGAAGTAATGATGTTAGTGTCTAATTGTTTAGATCACAAAGTCTCATGGTGACCTATTGTGATCACTTTTTTCCAGCATTGCTTGTTAGTAAACAATTTAACATTTTTTTTACTTCTTCTCAAAAACCCCTCAACCGATTTCATTGAAATTTTGCATAAACCTTTCCTGGCCCACCTCACAGGGAGCTAAGGGTCGGGCCAAATTTACTTAAATTTCAAAAATCATCTTAATGCCCAGGTATGATAGAATCAAATGCTCTTCATGGATGGGGCATAACATTGTTTATTTCCCATTGGAAATAACTTTATTAGTATAGGATGGCAGTTTTGATGCTATGCATGTATTGACACTGGCTTACCATAATCAATGTCACAGGTTTTTTTAATGACACTTGAAAGCTACCTTCCCTCTAACCTTTATACCTGTATTCAATATTTCTTATCTCGGGTGACTGTCAAGACCGCTCTGCCTCTTGTCTTCTCTTCAAGTGTTTAAGAAAAAAATATCAGTAGATTGACAAGGGGATAAACAGAACATGAATTCAAGGAGGCAAACAAATGAAACATCAACTGCACACTTTCATGTTGTGTTACTTTGAACTCGTAAAAACGGGTGTCATATTGAAAGATAGAAATATGAAAGGAAATGTAACTATAAACAAGAAAAAATTTTCTTGTTGTTTTATCCAAATCTGTAAAAAGGCATTAGCTTTTGCTCAGCTCAAGTGGCTTCCTTGCTACTCCAGGGGTTATGGTCACTTTGGCTCTCTGCATCCCTAGAACATTTCATAGCAAAATTAAAGGTTCCATTATCATGTGCAACTCCTTTTGGATAAGATGAGAAGACTAGTTTGATATTTTGATGTACATGAAACAAATCTTGGCGTTGCACAACAGTGTGTTGAATTGGCTTTGGAGATTGGTGTCATTCCTTTGTAATCTTCACATGAGCCTATCAGTCTTTGGTCAGATATTTTTTTCTCCTGAGGTCCAACTCTTGAACAATCAAATTACGTCGCTTGTGTCTTCAGTTTTGTCATGAACTGTTACAAGGATACAGAGAGCGAAAGCAATTGTGACCTCTGGAGTTTTGAGGATGCTTAAAGTGGTTAATTACACACTGCAGAGAGTTATGGGGATTAAAAGGAAGGAAAGGATGAAATAGTTAGAATTAATGGAGCAGGTTTCAGTAAAGTTGATGTTGTGTTGTCAATAAAAGAAAGGTTGCTCTTTATATTATACCTATTAGAAATAAGCAAAATAAAACAAAGATGTACAATTTCTTGTTTTTCCCCGTAGAGGTGCACCTAGTCCAACCCACCTTTAATAATCATCGAAATGCTTTAAATGCTTGTTACAGAGGCAAACTCACTAATTATTCAATAATTCATGAGTAGAGAACCCATATGTATCATTATTGATAATATTTTCTAATCTATTTAAAATCTAAGGTCTCTGTAACAATGAAATCAGTTTTGTTTTTATTGTGTAATTGACTGATTGGCGCAGAAAGGCAAACCGAAAGTAGATATAGTGCGGTAAGGGTGACCTCCCCTAACGGAAGTGCTAAAACCTAACCTTTTCGCGGGAACGAAGCCAAGTTACGGACCCATACTAGTTACAATATGTATTACTCGTCCAACCCACAACCAGAAAATGTTGGAGGATTCCTGAAAGAGCCTGCACAGAACGAGAATGTGGAATTCCAACGAACTGACAGCCAATATGAAGATAAATCAGAAAGGTTCCTCCTGAAAGATAAAAACTTCGTCAGGCAATATGCACACTTGTATGCGGAAAGATTATGGACGATGAGAGGGAAACTTGAGACGGCAGCAAAAAAGAAATGGGGTAATATATATTACATGTTAAAATATGGCTTTTTTTAAAAATTATTTCGTTCCTTCCTCAGGGACACACTCGTGACGTAGAGTTATGCTTCTCGAATTGGCCGGCACAACATCATAACAAAATTAGAATGCCGTCATACTCGTTATACCAACAACATTGCAACTTTCAAGTACGGTGTAGAATTTCTGCTACTCTATGAACGTAATGGTTATTATTTAGCTTAAAAACAGTTGACGTCCATTGCATGTTACACATGAATGAATACATTGTAATTATAATCGTAATCAAGTCTTCTTCAGGGATCACTCAGTTGAATCAAATGTATAAGAGGGTCAGCGATCCATTCATAACTACATGAATCATTTGACATTTAGGCGTAATTATGATAGATGTTGTTGTAATGTTTTTTTATAGGGAAAAATATTGATGTCAAGAAACTACACGAGCTGCAAAGTGATGAGAAATGTGTGATTATTGGGACGCTGTTCAAACACATGGAACTTCAACCAAGTATATTGAAGGAGATCAGTGAAGAGGTGTGTAGATTTGTTAGTCTATCATTGTCAATACCTTGCATGTGGTGAATGGATGCTATGGCACATGAAATTTGTGACCTTAGTAAAATATATCAAGAAAACTCAGAAATACATATGTCCCACCTGTATGGTATTGCCTTGTCTGTTTTGTAGTCACTATAACACCTTTATGTACAGAGTTTGGCACTGCTGTGTCATAAATGAAAGGTACATGATGTAATTGCCTCATATGTACTTTTTTTCTGTGTAAAAATTGAGAATACTGACCAACTTACAGTACTAGTCTCAGATTATGAGAAATTCCCTTTAGTCACTCATTTGTAGTATGTCAGACTGGAGATGAAGCCCAAGTGGGAGCAGAGATGTTTTCCTTACTCCATGTACAAGGATCCTGAGATATATATGCTGATCCCCTACTCAGGGTTTTCCATAAGAGCCGGTCGCTGGCCAATTTGACTGGCTACTTTGATCATTTGGCCACCTACACCAATCCAGTTCCATAATAATGTTCCATACATGACTACACGAACATGGCTGGCCAGCCTCCTACTTACACTACACAGTACACTACTAGCAAAATTATGGAAAACCCTGCCCCTACTTTTAATCTTAGGTTGAACATTCATTCAAGAATATCTTGCTGGAAAATTACAGTACTGAAATGGATTGAATTTCAATTTTCATTGAATGTCTTTTTTAGCACAATCTGATGCCTCAGCCAATACGAAGCCGATTTGTAAATGATGCAGACAAACTTATCCTAGAGGATGAATTACAAAGAATTATTTTGCTTGGAAAACTTGACACTCCCACTTCTGTTACAGGTAAAAATGAAAATTTTATTTTTAAATTAACACTTAATATATTTATATCAGTTTCTGAACATAGTTCTTTCAAAATAAACCAATGTATAAATTACTGAAACCCTGGTAAAATACTAGCCGCAATATACCACTCGACTAGAGAGAACTTCTCTCTAGCTCGATTGGTTGAGCGTCGGACTAGTAAGCCAGGGGTCCCGGGTTCGATTTCTAGCAGTGGCATTGAAATTAATAATGACCTCTGTTACATATAAATTACTGCTGAACTGAACACTCTTCAGTGAAATTTTAAATAAATGTTATGATGTGAGTATGATCTGTTTTGAATTGACAGGGGCCATTATTGCAGTATACGGTATGGAACCCGAAGATGATAAGGGAAAATTCCATGTTGAAGACTACTGTTTCCAAGAACTGCCATCACAGATCCCTAGACCTGTTCTGGAACAGGACAAGTACGTACTGTATAACCATGCCTGTTAATAAACCCATCAATTTTTTCATGCCTAGCTTTTTATTGTACTTGGTATGAACAGGCCTCGAATTTAACATTTTTTGTCACTTGTTGAAAACAGCAAGTGCCTTAAATTTGTACTTGCTAAAATGACTTTTTACTTGCTACTATTGCAAATCTCCATGTTCAAATAATGTGTTTTGTTTTGTGATTTATAATGTATTACCTTGCTTCATCCAATATATATCAACTATAGAAGAACTGCTTTGTCCCAATATTTACACTTTGAAAATCAAAACTCAAAACAATTTAACTCTATGAAATGTTAGGAATAGACAGGCACTTGCAGTTTATATCTGATGAATCCACTTGCTGAAAAAAGCAAGTCATTATTTTTTCTACTTGCAAATAGCCAGTAAAAAGCCTTAAATTCGAGGCCTGATGAAGTTAACCTCCTGACCTTGAGCCAGCGGTATTGTATTGCCCTGAAGGCTTATTGTAGGATATATAGATATATAGTGGTTACTGAAGGCTCCGGTTTTTTGCTTCACATTCTGAAAAGTTTTCTGCCAAGATTGAAAGAAAAGGGGAAAACCCAACTTTATCAAATTTTTCATTGCTTCCTTTCCTTTGGGATATCTTTTGGGGGAAAAAATTCTTCTGAAATTTTCATTATTCCATTTCAAAATATTTCGAATTATATATTGCAGTTTCATGAGGAATGGTATAAAATGATAATGTAATGTATTAAGCCCACTTTAAAAGTAATGCGTTTTGCCCTGGGCTTATTAATGATTACTTATGTAACTTTGACTTCTGTACAGGTATGTCGCATTAATCTCAGGGATAGAAGCTGGTGGGAGTGATGAGAAGACATTCCCTCTCCAGCTCTTTGTCGACTTGGTGACTGGTCAGGTTGGAGATGCTGGACAACAAGAAGATTCAGCTAATATTGTCCGTGTCATTGTCGCCGGTAACTCTCTCAGTCAGGACACGCAGGACAAAGACAGTATCAATAAGGTATAATGATTATCTGTAGAAACAACATTTTCTGTTCAGTTGGTGAAGTGTACATGTTCAAGAATCTTTATACCAAATGTAATCCTGTCAAATTATTTCTTTTCTATTTTTCTTTTTTCTTTGAACTCGGAAAATGTTAAAACATCAGATTTTATTTGCACCTTAGCTTTGCTCGTATCATTTTATAACTTTATTACAGAGAAAGTAATCAGTATTTATCATTGATCAGTGTTTTGCTAATTACGATTTTACAACACCCTGTGCCTGATCTTACAGAAAAATTGTAGTATTATCAGTATTATTTCCTTGGAAATTAATTTGTTTCTTCATTTTGAGAAAAACTTGGGTAAATAGTACAAGTGCATTCTTTTTTGCAAACAGGTTTATCAAGACAATTCTTTAGTTTGTAAATGGCAGGAACTGCAAGTTGTGTTTTCTAAATTTGAAAAAAAAATGTTTTAGCTATAGCTGTGCCAGAGAAAGAGAGATGGTGGGGGGAGGGGGGGGGGAGAGAAAAGAGGGGGAAAAAATGATTATTTCATTTCAGTGAGATTTCATTTTGGCCTCCATTGTTCATTATAACTAGTTAGGGCTATTCAAGTAAAACATTTACCTGACCTCAGTACCCCAAAATAGATTACCTCCATCCATGGTTAGCTTTTCAGTGTATTGTTTTTTAGCATAGTGTCTGTTAAATTATATTACTGATACCCCAAATCCCTTAGCAGGTATTTTTGGTGTCATAATACACCAGTTTCATATAAGTTAAAGTCTGTGCCCCTCTCTGGACCGACTTGTCTTTTATTTTCATATGAGACTGAATTTATTGAAGAGCTTTTCAAATCAGGTGACAAAAACCTTGCCTAGTCTTGATCTATACATTGTAAATTTAGCGTGAGGTTGTTAAACTTTATCAAAATTGACATATAGCAGAAGTTGCTTCGGTATCTTGGAATAATTTGTTATCACCATTTTGTGAATTTAGACTTGATACATAGAATGATGGTTTCAGGCCAAGTATATCACCATTTTGTCAATTTATACTTTATACATAGAATGATGGTTTCAGGCCAAGTATATCACCATTTTGTCAATTTATACTTTATACATAGAATGATGGTTTCAGGCCAAGTACCTCACCAAGAAGACGGTAGCTGGCAGTATAAATGCAGTGAAGGATTTAGACGATACCTTTGCCCAGCTGACTGTAAGTTTGACCTTTTTCGAGATGTGATAGCATTGTCCTTAAACGTTGTTAAACTTTAACTACCGTGGAATCTCTTACAAAAATACAGGCAGACCTTGTTATCTTGAACTCATATAACACAAGGACCCCGTTTAATTTGAAGCATTTCATTGGTCCATGCCTTACTTTACACAAAACATTAAAACTCGCTTAAATTAAATACTATGCTATCTCAAAATTTTGCCATGGCTGGGCCGAATTCGAAATAACAAAGGGTGACTGTAATATCTTTTCAAAGATTTTTTTTTTTCAATTTCTTTTTTGTCTTATGGATAATAAATAAATAAATTTGAATTATCAGAATTTAGAACAAATTCAGCGATTTTGCATAAGTTTTTGATAATTTTGATAGAGAATAGGCCCGTATACTTTGGAAATAGATGAAATAAAACACGCTGAAGATCATGCCTCACTTCACACCAGTTCACCTTGTTCTATTTAATAATCTTCATAATCTTTGGATTCCATAATAAATCTTTGTGTCATTCAGAAACACTTTCTATTGTGTACAGAACTTTCATTTAATAAGAGACATTAATGCAGTTCATTGTTACTTCCAAATTTACTGTATAGGACAATTCTATTCTGTTACAGTCGTGTGTGGATGTAGATGTGATGTCAGGGCAATTTGATCCGTCTAATTATATCCTACCCCAGCAGCCTCTACACAAGTGTATGTTCCCTCAAGCGTCTAGTTATACCACCTTCCACACCACTACAAACCCCTACCATGGTTGTGTGGATGGTGTCAGGTAACACAATTTTATCTATCTTTTAGGGGTATGTACGGTCTTGGAAATTAAGAAAGGTCCTCATGACATTTTACGAAAAAAAGAATAAGTGTCATTTCATGTGAAATTGTTTAGATTGAAATTGTAGGATAAGTACCCTCGAAATTCCAAAGGTTACAATCACTTGATTATGATTCATGCAGAGATTGAAAGTGATCATAGTCACCAGAATTTCCAGGATGATGAGTAAAAATAAATTACAGCTTCATGAGTTATTCATTTTGAGAATTTCTTTACTTTTCTATTTCAAATTAAATTTCATTTCGTATTAAACGAAAGATTGTTCCGGGGGGAAGAAAATCTACCCTCCAGGGATCTGTCAAATTTATTTCAAATATTAATTTCTTTCGATTAACCCCTGAATATATTTGTGATAAATATTCATTTAATTAACTAAGCTTTATATAAGGATGAACATTGTTTTAAGTTTTAATTTCATCAGTTTGCTGTTGCCCACTTGAGCCTCAGTAAAAGGATATTGAATGATAAGAATTTATATTTTTACAGTATTTTGGGTACTTCTGGTCAGCCAACACATGACATAATGAAATACAGTACAAATGAAGATCCAGTTGATATTTTAGAAAAATGTTTACAGTGGGGTCATCTTGCTCCTACAGCTCCAGACACTCTAGGTAAGTAAAACAGTGTAAGATGTTACCAAATAAGCTGCAATGTATGATTTGAAATTTGAAATTAAAAGTGAACCATTGCCATTTAGAAATTCAATATCTTTGAAGTTATGCTATTGTCAATGCTGGTAACCTAAAAAAAAAAAAAAAAAGAGGGATTCTTTAAATTCATGAAAAAATTCTATTTGTATTCAATGTATTTGTATTTAAAAACATGCTACAAAGATTGCCATTTAAAATGTTTCTTTGAAAATTCAGAAAGATACTAACTGTATTTGATATTTTTCACAATTCTTGGCGAAGATCTCTATCTTTTCTATGTGGTTTTTTTTTTCAGGCTGCTACCCATATTATGGAAAAGATCCATTTATATTAGAAGAATGTCCACATATTTATTTTGCTGGTAACCAGTCAGAATATGGTTGCAAACTCCATAAAGGTAAACAATGTAATTCCAGAGTTACCTCCCTTTGTCCTTAAAACTTAGGAACGATTAGTGCAGAAATATTAAAGGAATTATTTTACCATTGTTCAAATGACGTTGCAAAAATATTATCAACTTGCATTGCAGATTATAATTATATACCGGTACATGTCTTTATTTTATGAGTCATAGAGTGATGTATACCAATGTGGCTATCTGTCCCATTCTGAATGTCATCTCCTTCTCAATAGGTTTGGGTCATGTTTACCCCATATTATCATAACATCGAGTCCTACATCTGACCGGAATCTAATGTGTATAGGAGAGTGGCATTCACGTATTGTTATTTTCTTGTTTCAATAGAATCTTCGTAAATCATTAAAAAGGTCTTTACATTTGGGTTATAGTTGATGCCATAGTAGCAATTCATATATGTATTTTTCCTGTAATAAGCCCATGTCTGGTAATAAGCCCACCTACGTTTGCTTCAATTTCAACAGGCACAACAACTTCTATCTCATTTTCCTGCTATAAACCTACCCTCCTTTCCAAAGTTAAGTCTCTTAGGCTTATTGAAGGACATATTCAGTAGATATTCTGTCTAGGCAAAATCTTTTTGATGGATAAAAACTTTAGAAATAACAATTATCACTTGATGTTGCAGGTCCTGCTGGTCAGCAGGTATTGCTTGTCAGCGTTCCAAGATTTTGCCAGACAAGTACATGTGTACTCATTAACCTGAAGACACTTGAATGTCAAGCCATTGAATTTAACACAGAATTTCCTGAACCAGCAAAGGAGAGTCCAGAGGTGGACAAGTGACAGTGTGCTACAAACTAGGACTAAAAGACTTATACAGTGTAGATGGCTGCAATATTATACTGTTAAATTTACGTGATACATATTTCAAAAATCAGGTAGTGCTCTCATGATATAGTTTCCCTGCACTATTAGAATAATTCAAAGCAAAAGTTAAGTTTCTGTATATGGAAAATGCAAATTGTAGGATTTCAGAGATGCAGAATATTACATACCTGTGATGGTTTCAATACAAAATGAAAGCAGGTAACCCTCTGTCGAGTAGCAGAATATTTAAAACTGACTGACTTTGACTAACTTGTAACTGCAGTCGCTTCTTCAGAGCACAACAAGAGGTCAGTTTTTGATGCTTTGATCAGGACAAAGAGAGAATTTGTACCTGGAGAATGGATGTTTTGGATTTTCGAAGACAATGTAAAATACTTGTATATTGGGGATATTTTTGTGCTGTGTAATTTTTGGAAAAATCCCTTAAATGTCTCTTTTGCAATTTCTTCTTGGTTTTTTTTTTTTTTTTTTTTTTTCGATTTCATTGTCTTTGAAATTTGAAAGGCCTCTTTTGTGGACATTGAATATTTTTGAATGGACATTAGTGTAGATTCTAACATCAATTGGAGATCTAACTGACCAGTTAAAATAGGTGAGAGATTTGCATGTCCTCTAGTATTAATTTGTGATAGAAATATTCACGACAAGAAAGTGCTCAGGTGCATGTAAGTACATCAGTTCTATAGATATATTACTGTTGCATTTAAAGTAAAAAGTATGCAAATTTTATGATTTAGAAATTTTTCTTTCTGTTTTTTTTTTGTTGCTAAATTTGCCAAAACTGTGATACCTGCAAACAATTTCTGATACATGTGTAACCCTGGTAAAATACTAGCCACAATATACCACTGGGTTAGAGAGAACTTCTCTTTAGCTCGATTGGTTGAGCATCAGACTAGTAAGCCAGGGTTCCTGGGTTCGATTCCTAGTGGAGGCATTGAAATTAATAATGACCTCTGTTACATATGGTATAGGCATAAAACCTTCGGAGGCAATAACTGGTCATTTGGTTCAACACTGAACACAATAAAGGGGTGAAATTTTTTCTCTGGATCTATTGTGGTACAAATTGCCCATTTTAATACCTTTTGGAGGTTTGTGGTTGTGTTTCGATGCCTTTCTTTGATGGAACTCTTGTTACAAGCACCTCCACGACTGAGACTATAAGTGACAATCACCAGGAGGATTCGCTCTACTTACAAGGCAGTAAAGCAAATTTTGTAGAATAATTCTAGTCCATGTTTTTCTCTCTTTCTATAAAGTTGAGTAATTCAGTATCACAAACAGGAAGAATAGAAAACTCTTCAATGTGATTTTGACTGATGAAGTTGTACCCCTTTAAATTTATTTTAAGCTGTTGAGGATTAAAATTAATCTCGAGTGCATTTCAAATCTCCATTAGCCAGTATTGAAGTTGACTCAAAAATGTTAAGTTAGTGAATGCTGTTAACAACGGCTTTCACATCGCATTACAGGAAGCATTTTCTCGCACCTTTCTGTTTGAATTGAGTAAATTATTTAAGAAATTGCACATACTTTGAAACTAATCAGCTAAATGGTGTATAAAATATTAAAATTAAGTGATCAGTTTGTCTTGTTGTTTTAAAAAGTATGGTAAAAACAAAATTAATTGAGGCAAAACTGATGTTTCTGTTGTCTCATCTTCAATTTATTACAAAAAAGAAATAAAATATACAAGACAGCATAATGTTGTATTATTTTTTTTATATTCAATGGTTTTACATACATGTTTATCATCAATGACACATCACCTTCTAATTTTGGATGGCATCATTTAGAAGTGCCATCTTGCTGAAATATCCATTTTTTAACATAGAATCTTTAAAGTGACATTCTATTTCTTGATCAGATGACAGTTTGACAAATATTGCCACAAGTCGTTTTGTGAAATGAAAATGAAAAATGAAAAAAAAAATTAAAAAATTAAAAAAAAAACACTCTGAAGTTGTTTTACATTTAATATTTTTGTTGTAGCTGGACATGTATGCTCAAATATTGATGTACTATGAAATGTATAGATACTCTGCTTGGGTTTCTATTCATGATGATTGAATTTCATTTTGAAATTGTCATGATAATCATTGTATAGTAGGGATGTAGTCCTAAGATATCACCACAACAATGATATTTTTCCCAAATTTAAAGATTTGAAAAGAAGTCAAATCTCTTGGTGCTCCGTTCAGAATGAAAATAGTGAAATAAAGTAATTAATTCAGAGCAGTACCATCCAACACAGATGTTGGGAGAAATTGATTGTTTTTCATCTGAGTAGGGAAGGTGTTGAAACAGGTCTCAAGAGGATGTTGTTACCCTTGAAATTGTGTCGATAACAAATATTTTTCGTTTGGTTTTATGTAGTCTGAGAACACTGATTAAAATACTTGTTGAATTTCAAAGTATGTTACAAATCTCCATTGGTTAAGTGTAACACTGCATTAGTTGTCAATACTGGATTAAACAACATCCTACAACCATTTTTCATCCATTTCATCCTTCCAGGTTTCATCATTGATGCTCAGGGCATTGTATTGAAACCTAGGAGGCGAATAAGGGAAACCGAAACTGGTTAAAAATGAATATTCAAATATTGATGGATAGGTCCGCTAGAATATAATTTATCACATTTCATTGTTTTTTCAATATTGAATAATATTTCAAAATAATGGTAAGTAATTATGTGTATATTCTGAATGATGCCAGAATTCAAACGAATTGATCCTGGCTTGCTATCAGAAACCAGAAGTGTTTGCATTCTGCTACATGTATGCGATTTTCACTTTTCATTATAATTTTGAAGTATTGAAATCTTGGAGACAATGGAGAAAAATCAAAACTGGTCAAAATAAATGTTTTATAAAAATGGAAAGATTCAACATAATTCATAATTTTCGATTTTGGATTATTTCAAAAGAATTTCGGGTGCATCATAGGTGTATGGAGTTGGGGGCGTAGTGTTTATTCTTACCTGGGATTGTTATTTTTGAGGGGGGAGGGGGCATAAATGAAGGATTTATGGACTGAAATTCATGAAATAACATTATCATCTATGAAAATATCCTGATTTTCATTTGTACATAAAAAAAAGTACACACAGAAGGTCTGTTAATTTAAATATGACTTTCTTGACCTATTTGGAGGTCATAAAACATTATTTTTTCCCTGAATGTGTAAAAGGAATAAAAATCGAGACGAAGAATTGGAAATTTTCGCGTGATTTGCATGCGAGCATATTCCAGAATAATTCTTTTAATTAATGACAGCTGTTCTTGTTCAGTTCCAGGAGGAAAACGTGAGTCACATACAAGGATTCCGACACACAAAGGTTGCAACAGAAACACAGTTAAAGGTAGGACTGAAAATTATCTTAACTTACTATTGTTCCAGAGCGAAGAGTGCTACCGTCAGTAGAGTTCCAACTCCAGATGGTTGGTTTTTTGATGGATAGACAATTGTACAAAAGGCACACAAACGAATGGTGCCTTTCAATACAAATAAAGAATTATAGCCACAATACGGCCAAATATTGAATTAAACATACAACTGTTTCGTCCTTTAGGGACTTGTCATTGATGCTAATGAACTAAATTAGAACCTAACTGGCGACTTAGGAAAATCCAAAACTGGCCGAAAGAAATGTAGGAATCTAAATTGGGATGAATTCAATTAGTTACGTAATTTTATACATGTATCTGCTAATATCAAAAGAACCGCGCCGATATTCCGCAAAATTAGAAGCTGGCATGCAAGTTACATCAAACCTCGGGGACAAAATGTCCCGCTGACCAGCAGAGGCTACCACCTGTAACCTGAAAGATTAAAAATAACCCTTTCACGTGTCGGGTGTAGGATAGGGATTTCCTCCCGAGAAGGAGGGGGGGTGTCACAAAATGTCGTGTAAGCTCGGGTTTTACCATATTTTGTGACCCAACCTCGATACTCAAAAGGCTACAATCACTTTCAGTCACTGCACCCTTGGAACAAGTTATAAAATTGAAGGCACACGCGAAGTAATTTGATTGATTCCAGGAGAAAAAAAACCTGACCAATCACAGGCAGTTATGCTCCTTTTGCACTGTTACGCTCCTTTTGAAGATCACAAAAGTGCGACATCCAGCTTCAAAGCTTCAAAGAGATTCGTTCGATGTACATCAAAGGATCAAACTACAGTTTTGTAGTCATTTACACAAGGTGTCGCAGATGGAACCTTCAATTTTGCCATGATATGTTTCAGGAGTGCAGAGAGCGAAAGTGATCGTAACCATTGGAGTATCGAGGATATTTCCTTCATTTCGATATATGAAAGAGTATTTTTCTCTCTCGTTTCTCATTCTAAAATATTGAAAATAAGTAGATATAGACGTCGACAATGTACTAATAAGGACGCCATATTACACGTAAATCATGTTTTTATTATGCAATAAATCGACAAATGGGCATATAAAATGAATTCTCTGTGCCTAGATTTGGTGAACAAAGTTTGCCCTAGAAAGTGAAACAAATATGTACACGTGTGAATACATTGTATCAGGTGATGACGTCAGAAGGGACACGTCACAGTTTTACGTGCACGTGCCGGTATTGCATGGGTGGGTGTGTAATACTAGAACAGTGAACCTCATTACACAGGTAGAAAAGAGAAGGATATAAGCGTGGTGCTATCTGTCTCTTGGGAGTATCTGAACCAAGGCATTGCAACCGGAGGAATTTCAGACTTTCTTGTCTGTCAAAGAGTTTTACTGTTTGGTACTGAGGTCAAAGGAGACTTAAACTCATCTGTCTGTCAGAATGTCCATTGTCTGGTACTGAGACCGGAGGAAATTTAGACTCATCTGTCTGTCAAAATGTCTTATGTCTGGTACTGAGACCGGAGGAAATTTAAGACTCGTTTGTCCATCAAAATGTCTAATGTCTGGTATTGAGGCCAAGTAAACTTAGAATCATCTGTCTGTCAAAATGTCTTATGTCTGGTCTAATGTCTGGTATTGAGGCCAAGTAAACTTAGACTCATCTGTCTGTCAAAATGTCTTATGTCTGGTACTGAGACCGTCTGATATTGGAGCTTGAGGAAACAGGAGTTCAAAATGTCGCGCTGAATGCAATATTGAAGTTAAGTGAAACTCGGGTTAATGTTAAAATATATCCGTTGAAATCCCTGTATGTATCGTCTGTGCTGGAAATGTGGGCTACTGACATAGTTAGCTCTGAAAATAAAAATTCCTTGCAAGTCTAGAAAGTGAGCTTAGCACTTTCCGACAGCTGCACAATTCATAGCAGGTTATGTGACACTTTCGTTGGAAATATTGAATTTTTTTTTAAACTGGTGATAATATCTGCTCATATTGAATTAGTGTACAGTTTCTAAGATTGTAAGTGACACACATTAGGTTCTTTTCCGTTTTCTGTCATATTTGTTTTCAGCATATTATGTTCGATAATCCCCCGTGTGGGTTGACACCGTGGTGTACCTTTCCGGTTTAGTCAGATCTATAATTTTTTTAAGCTACCAGCAGTGCGTTATGTAAGTGCCACGCAGTCTGCTGTCTTCATTTAACGACCAATGACGAGTAATGAGTCTAAATTACAAACTTATATATATAACCACGGTCACCATATACTATAAGTAAAGACACTTAAATGTTATCGATAAATGCACGTTGATTAACTATCTACAAAACTTATACAGAATCTCTGTTGGTTATTGAGGGTCCTGAATATTGCTGTGATGTATTTTAGTAATAGCCTTCATACAAAGCTACGACAATATAAAAATCGACTTTTAATGGTAAGGCTGGATAATTTACATGCACCGATTTATAATGAGTTTGGAATTGGAAATGTGTTTCGCTAAGATAGCATACTCGCCCACATAATCGTGTATTGTCTATCTTGAGTGGGAGTTTGCGAACATGAAGAAATCGACCATGTGTGTTTGAAGATATGGTAAACCGGCACGACAATTGATCAAAGAACTCGAGTATCGATCCCATTTCAGAAAATTCTGTAAAATGTGTAATATTTTTATGTATAAGTATAGAATAACTTAAAAGAAATATACACGTCTTCAAGCAATTAATCCCCATCCCCTCTTTCCTTTTATATATATTTTTTTCATTCTATGAAACATTTGCGAAAACATCGTAAATGAAGAAAGATTGAGGAATAAAAGGAAGGCCGGCTCCTGTTGAAATATCACAAGAAGATTGGCAAGCCCGACGCATTGCATTCGCACGTGCTGTACATACGGGCACCAGCACGAGACAGGAAGTAATGGAAAATGTATTCCGGTCTACCGTACTCGTGCTGAGAATACCACGGGTCTAATCGTATTGATTGATAATTGAGAAAACACGACAATTCATTTATTGTTAAATGGAGTAAATGGATATCCTTAAACGACGTGGTATTTCGTTAGAGGAGGATAAAACACGATGCAGGTGCAGAATTCCTCAGTGACAAAATGTCTGTATCACTCTGTGCCAAGTGAATACATGGTCGTGTTTCTCAGTATAAAAGTGGCAACCGTAAAGACCTCCTTTTTTCCTGATATGAATAGGTAGCATTCGTCGCTATTTATATCCATGAAATAATTGCTTCCCTTTTTTGAATTCTCAATGGCTTTAACGATTGTTGAAGT